AACCTTACTGATTTTAAGGGCCTGTTTACAAGGAGAGAGGGTTACCCTTAAGCAATTTCACAGGTAGGTTCACCCTATCACCCTGGTCAACTTTACCAGCTTCACTGACGTGTTTCGTACAATGCGTGACATTCTTTGTAACGTCTAAGATTTGAAATAAAAGCTGAAGTTCTCTATCGAAAACACGTTAAATTCACGAAAAAAAAAAAACGGGAAAATATTATCATCGTATACAGACAACACCTTATCTTGTTCAGATGTTTATAATTTAGCTCAGAAATTGGATAATTCGTTCAAATTGTTAAGACCAGTGACGGAGGAAAGTTGTCCTAGGTACAGTCAACTCTCGCCTTGCGGACACCCCGCTATAACGGACACCCCGATAATACGGACAGCAGCTAAATCCCCAGCAAAAACAAATTACAGATGTTTGACTGAAATCAACTCCCGCTATTACGGACACTCGCTAATGAGGACACTAACTCGAGGTCCCCACAGTGTCCGCTATAAAGGGAGTTGACTGTTGTGAGTTATCCCTTGCAGAGCGTTTACAAGGCGGGTTACCCTAGCGCTAGGGTAACTCGACCTACCTTGTAAAAACGTCGTGTAAAAAAGGAAGAAATATGCGAGTGCTGGGTAACCCTCTTGCTAGGGTAACCTTACCACTAGGGTTACCCTCAGAGGCGTTCTTTCCAGCCGTGCTAACAGGTCCTCAGTCACAAGACGAAAAAACCGTGGAAAATTCTTATAAAAAAATTAGGTGGTTAAATTGAGCTGGGTCAGCAGGTTATTACCAGAAGGAAGTGTACTTTAAAATACTTCCCATAAAGTCGTTTTAGCACTGAAGAAGTCCTCATGTGACTCAAGCATGTCAAGTGATACATTCCGCGCTGAGAGCCACTTCCGAGGTTTAATTCCGGCTTCATGGCTCTCCTATATTCTTACGCATGCACGTGTGCTGTACGCGCGCTGCTGATCGTGATGCTGACGCCTAAATAGTTTGAGTGAGGATGAATAGTATCACGCATTAGCAAAGAGGATTCATCATGGCCGACTAGCAAAAACTATTCGCGTGGTCGATGACATGCTTGATTTCGAGACACCTTAGATACAGCGGCAACCGATCGAAATTCACCGCAATTTCCCGGGATCTTTTTTTTTCCCTAAATGGCATGGGTATGCACAACCCTTTATTAATAATGTGAGATCTAGACTGACACATCCTGTTGTATTTTACCCGCGTAGTGAGCATCTGCTCAAAAGGTTTCAGCATATCCAGTTTTCAAATACTATGCTTTAACTAGGCTGGTTACCCATAAGTGACATCCGGATGAAAAATTAGATTTCATCAAATTTTTCTTTTCTTGGGGCAAATATGGTTGACCTGAATACCGCATTTCCACCCCAATTTACATCCTCGCCGGCAGCCTCGTGTGATTGCGGTATTTACCATCTTTGGCCCTGATTTTCTCCTAATTTGCACTTTTTTGCTGTTGTATCACCAGCTGGACTCGCGCCCATGAAGCAGAGCGAAATCGTAGATTAGGAACTGTTAGCTGACTGAAGATCACTACACTCAAGTGAGACAGTGAAGTTTGTAATACCCCCGGGGGCTCCGTCCGAGAGAGGTACCTTTTTCCGGGCCTCTGGTATATGAAACGATAGGGATTTCACTACTTGAGATATATGAGAGGGTAGGGACATCTGACATTTCGGTCTATAAAAGGGCTCAAAGGGCAAACAGACGCATTTTGCGACTGAGAAAGAGTGGAGAAAACGTTGTGGTTTTGTGATTTGTTTTAATCAAAGCAAATTTAATTTCTAAACTAGGTATATGAAAGGGGTACCATTTTTTAACTGAAGGCATTCGAAAGGGGTTTCTTTGCTGTCAAAATGGTATATAAATGGGTAAGGGATTGGACCTGGGTAAGATCCATAATGGGGCGTTGAGTACCCCCCGGTAATACCGCACCAAGATTTTTCGCTGATTTCTTACGACAAGTTGCATCATGAATCTAAACAGAATTTCACTAGAGAAGAAGATAGGACACAGTAGAAATTTCGAACCACTCGGTCAAAATTCGTAGAAATGCAATTGATATGTTATAACAAGCCACCGTAAACCTTTTTTGGAATGTAAATTCTAGTTATTTTTACCATGATAGTATCAATTTAAATTTACCATGAACAGTGCTTGTATGTACCAATATAATATTTAGCCATACCAGTATATATTTTTCTTTTATTTTGTTTTGCTTCTAACAGAGGTAGAAACCATGCATGTTGTTATGGAAATGCTGTTAAAAACATTATTGTTTGTATTATTACTATTATTTTCTTTTGAACTCTGTTTCCCAGAGAAGTTAACCCTATTCTACTTTTTTTTTCATGTCGATGGGAAAGGTTCCACCCCTCCATGATGCCGGATGCAAAATGGCTTGCGCATGCCTCCAAACCATGCAATTTCGCACAAAGTAAACAACGGGTCAAGACCTTTTTTCCGGAATGCAGTTTCAGCATTAGTAAGAATCCATTCATGGAGTGGGTGCAGTAAAAACACAGGAAATCCGAAGTTTGGATTTGAATAATAATTTGTCTCCTTTTTGTTTTTGAAATGTTTTACTTCAGCGCTACGCGTTTGACAACTTCAATTCAGAGTCAGCGTTGCTGGGCCTATATTAAAGTCAATAGAGTTGTTATTCCGAGTTTTTGCAGTCTGTATCATTATATATCCGTGGTTTTCCGACTGGTATGAATATTCATCATCGAATGTGCCCTAACGCGCCTTCGCAGTCGGAATGATTCATACATATGCTAGCTGTTTTTATTGGTTTGCCTATTCTTCGTTTACTTTCATTGGGCACATACACTATGTTATTTGTAAAGAATTTCAGAAAGCGAAACTCTAACTTTCTCCGGAAAAGTCAAGTTTTAAAATAGCATCGGTATTGACTGTTAATATACCACTGATACTAAAAGTGAAATATTTTTGGCTTTCTCTCTACTGAACTCCAAACCGTGACCGTTCAGGTTGAGTCAATATAAATGATGTCAAAAGCACCCGAAATAAGATTACTTTTTAATGTTATAAAAACTCTCAATTTTTAGGGGATACTTTAACTGACCTAAACTGGCTGAAACAGCCCGGCTCTATCAATCTACTGTTGCTTGGTTTGTTTATTTAACAGACTATCTTTTGATCGTGCACGTGGGTCTGATATTTTCCGTATTTTGCAGACTCAAATAATCATAATTGGGCTGTAAGGGTATTTTCGTTTTAGTCAGGTGTTCATTCAGATTTCGATTTTCAGTGTCAACTAAAAAGTCGTGTTTTCATACAGTAAAGAGTGGTCGTGGTCGTGGTCGTAAACTTTTGTTACAACGTTAAACGTACTGAACGTAACGCCTACAGTTTTAAAAAGGATAAAATGTTTTTCGTTTAGTCAACTGTTCACTTGATAATAAGGTCAATACGATAACTGAAATGGAACGGATCGCCATATTAACACTGATCATGAGCACCGAGCAAATTAAAGATATAAAGCATGATATCCCTTCCTAAGATTTGATGTCGCTGAAATATCTCACGTGCTGAAGAGATGAGTGATTCTATCAGACCATTATTCTAAAAAGAGAGCAAATCCATTTGAATAAAAGCGCTTTCCGCCTGGGTATTTGGGGTATTTTTGCATTTTGAAGGTCGTGCATTCGTGACATGCAAATTCATAATGACGTAACACAATTTTCGAGTGTCTCAATGTAAATACATTGTTTCGCCCACGGGATCAATTGTGAAATTTGCAAAGTATGGTAAGCGTCTTTGAAATAAAGTATTCAATTAATATCCACTTCTATAAGTGAAGTTCTACATACACCTCAAAATTTGTGAGAAATCCCGAGAAGTTCCAATTTAAGAGTGGTTCACAATATCAAAACCATAAACTTCAATTGAGGGTCGGTCGGGGGTTTTTCAAGGCTGAAAGCAGGGTTTCATTCGTCAGTGACCACGTGGTTGAGAATCGCCCAATCAGAGAGTTTACTGCTGCCAATACCGACTTCCGTGTTACGAGGTGAAGTGATCGATCGATGTTCGACTCTCAAGTGCTTTGAAGTCGACTGTTAGTGAATACGAATGTTTGCGAAGCCCTGACAGATCAACGAGAAATATGGAGAGTGGAGAAGTAATTTTTTCAGGATACTTGTTTAAATCACCTCCAGAAAGCAAGCTGCGTAACCTAAGATCGGTAAGTTCCGTAAGTCGTGTGTGAGTTGATGTTGTTGTTGTGCGAACGTGCAGCATTGGAATGAAGCTCCACGGAATCGATTTCATCTGTAAGCTTGTTGCTTGTCGGCAAACACCGTACTTTTTCTCATGTATAGCTGCGTCCGACAGATTTTGAGTGGGATCAGTAAAACACACACTTTGTTTTTCGTTGTATTTGATCGGGAAAGATTCGTGGCCACGACATGCCGATGTCGTCGTTGCTAACCGCGAAAAATCTTGAACTCTGCATTTGCGGGCATCATACGGTTTTACTTCTAGTTTAGTTGTTGTTTTTTTTCGATGAGAGTTTAAAGCTGTGTTCACTCTGTAATAGTTTTAATGTCTGTTTGATGGTTCTACCATAAACCATGATCTGCGAGTTGTTTAAGCTTTCAATGACTTCCGCAGGTTACACCATTAAACATACAAATTAACAGTCGAAATTAATGAATTCTTCCGAAAGCGCGAGGTTTCAATCAACATGAAAGCTAATTCTAAGCAATACTAACCATGAATTGCCACAAATGACTTTCACTGTGTCGAAACTTTCTTTGCCTTTCAATTAAGACGTATAATTTATGGGCATTAAAAAAATCGAGGGACGACGGCTGGTTTAGTGGGAAATTTAAAACAAACAGGATTTTCCTCAGACAAGGAAACGAAATCTAAATTCCTGTTCTGATCGTCTTTTTCTCATTTTCATATACATGTAGTAATTATTCTAAATTACATGCTAATGCACAAACTTAAGCACGTGAATATATTGCAAAAATTTGCCGGCGTTTGCGATTTCTTCATTCAACTAAACATTGCCAAATGTGTAACTCGATTCCACAAGTAAAGCTAAATTCTGTTACACTTTGCCCTGATCGAGTGTGTGAAAGACATTCCATTCAAATGTGATCGTAGTTATATATGAGACTTGGTTGGTGTAGTGTGGTATACATGTACAGTAGTTATTTTAAAGCCCGAAGAAAATCTTACAACCCGGAGTAAAAAGTACTGAGGAAAAACATACTCAAACCGGAGTAAACAGAATTGGTGGAAAAAAAAAAGGAATGAGGAAGTTGTTTTGTTCCAATAAGTTATATTTAGCCCTGTTTCAATTTCCTTTGATTATAAAGCCTTCAGCAGTTTAAGCTAATGGTAGTGGGTTCATATTACTTGGTTTGCGTTAAAACCTTGTCTGAATATTATTGTAAATTATATAAATAGTGGCATAACCATAAAAAAATATCAAAATGTTTATGAGCTACTAAACTAGTGAAATGCGTAGTGTAAACAGTGCATATGTTGTGGGTAAAGACCATTAATTTAAGATCATGTTAAACCTGTATTCAACCTCGTTGAATACAGAATTTTCTTTTGTTTTCTAGCTCTTAAAAATTTTCAAAGGAGGCAAAGGAAAATCTTGTCAACCTTCATTTGTAAGCATGCCCAGATTGTACTAGTACATGAACCCCTAATGCCCACCCGGAATCACTGGCAACTGTTGTTTTTGTGCACATGTGGCACCAGGCCTTTAGACTTCCGTGAAGAACACCTACATGTACTATATCCAGACCTCACGATTCTGCTGTTATTGTCTCAATTTTTTAACTTTTCGCAAGAATTCTTGACAAGACTTCCACCTTATGGCTTTTTGGGAAATTATAATCATTACCTGGTCAATATAGGTGGAAATTTCTTGGTGAATGCTAGTGCCTGTTTATGCCCTGATGGGGCTTTTGTTTGTAACATTATACATGTAACCATGAAGTTGGCTTATCCGGAAGGATGACTCTTTGCTATAAGTTTCGACCCGGTGATGACCTATTCTCTGGCCTCTTATCATCAAAGAAAAAAGTGGCATCTAATTTGTTACTGGAGGGACCCAACTAAAGCAGGGTAATATTAAATAAACAGTTATTCCCCCAATGAAAAAAGGGTAATCGTAATACGGAAAAAGTAGAATCGCACTACTTTTTTAGAATCTCCCAACTTTTTTTCATGAGTCTCCAGATTTTCCTTTATCAGGGTTTGGCAGGTCTGTATACATGCTTTTTTTACTGGTGAGTGAACATGTAAAAAGGTTGTTTAACCGATTGGAAGTTACATTTACATACATAACATTGATTACGTCACTTGTACATCTTTACGTAATGTTTCAGAGACTGCATGCATGATATTTTCAGAGGGATGTAATTACAGTCAAACCAGGTCAAGCGTACCCCCCAAGAATCCATTAATGAATTTATTATTCAAAAGTTGAATCCTTTTCTAGTTGTAGATTTCAGATTGATCTCTGCATTCTTGTATTTGTAGTGAGCCGTGAATTCACACGCGAGGCAGTTATGAAATTTCTACCAACTCCATTTTCCTGAAATTGATGTAAATGTCTTCTAAGAAGCTTAATCCATTCAAAGATTTCCAAATCTTGACCAAATACAGAGAAGTTCTTGTAAAATATTCACTGCTCATTACGCATACAGAAATGCCACTTTGAATTTGACACCAGTTACGGGAACGACTAAGGGATTCATTTTTCAAATAATCAATTCACTGATAGAATCTTGGGGGGTACGCTTGACTTGGTTTGACTGTAACCACTATTCCATGAGTGCGCGTGGGATATGAGATGGTAGACAGCCAACTGCGACATGTAGCCCCGAGTTGAATATAATTAACAATTATTCCTTGAGCCCGAATGGGCTCTGAGTCAATAGCCCATGAGGCTGAATGGCTATTGACTTGTTAAAGCTAGACTTTAATCCTTTTTTGCCGCCAAAAAGCCCGCACTTTTCGCTACTAGTGGGCTATAACGTATAGCCTAGTAGTAGCTCAACCAATCAGAATGCAGCATTGATAATAGACCACTCGTTGGATTTTACTAATAATCTCATATCCAACAAGCGCAAGTGGAATAATAATTGTTTTATTAAAAAGGCGCTCAAAATATCGAGAATTCTTCTCAACTGTATTTGTAAAAACAACTGATTTTCAGCTTGTATTTTAATTTTGAGCAGACATGTACAGTTACCATATTTAGAGAGCATGGTATAATGGCTCATAAATTATACCATGATGGCTAAGCCAATCAGAGCTCTAGAATTGCATTATCCAATAATTCAGTTTTAAATAATTAACCTTATTTACTGTTTTATTTTGTTTGGTTGTGTTAAATGAACCATATCTACAAAATTATGAAAAGCTTGTCCTGTAATAGTAGATGTGACTATAATTTTTCTTACATGTACAGGTGTAGTTCTAAATACTTACAGATGTAGCTTTCTTTTGTCTCTTTTGCAGTGGACAAAACGTTTTTTTGTTTTGCATAAAAACAAGCTGCTGTATTATTACAAGAGTGATAAAGATAGGAAGCCTGTCAAAGATCCAATTCAACTGACTTGGTGCAAGTGTGTTGAGTCAAATTTGGATCATGAGAAGTTCAAGTATCTATTCAGTATTGTCACAGACAAGCGGACATATTACCTTGTGGCTGAAACACAACAAGATATGGACATCTGGGTTGAAAAACTCTGCATTGTTTGTGGTTTCATAAGAACAGATCATGGTACAATGGATCAAGGTCAATCCCTTGGTGAGGTTTTAATATACAGCATTTACTCCAATGATCACCACACTTGAATAAGCACTACATTTTGGAGGAAAAAAGTTATCAATAAGTACTGCCTCATTAAGCACCACGGCCCTTATATAGTCAAAATCAAAGACACTTAATTAATTCTTTGGGGAAAAAATGACACAGAAGTTAAAGCAATTTTTTGTTCCACCCACTGCACCCTCAAGTAACTAAAGAACTACTTTTGAGGTATTAAAAATTTAATAAGCACCTCGGCAGGGCTTATTCAAGTGAATACAGTACTGTAATTTATTAACAGTAATGAAGACAATAATTATGGAAAATTATTCAGACTGAGGAGGTTTTTATTCGCCAAGGTGGATTACACGGTCTGCCTAATTTTTTTTATTCTTCATATCATACAAAAGCCGAGTTAAATAGTCAAAATATTGTTTTATAATTCATTTACAGTAGTCCTAGCTTTTGACATCCTTACCTTCTCAAAGACTTTCCATCTTATGGAGAGTCAAATGAAGGGAGTACAGTGTAGACTGTATTCCTCGAAACGCAGTGAGACTCATCAAGTAATATTTTACATCTGGTTCTTGCTGAAATACCCCATTTGTTTATGTTTGATTTTCTCCTTTCTCCAAACATGAAATAAAAATTATTTTCTTATCTGCTCTTATCAAGAGAATGGACTACTTTATAGTTTCGTAGGCCCTGTGGTTAAGTTTATGATTAATTGTCCTTGTGCTTACACAATTCTTGCACATTCAAGCATTGTGTTACGTAAGCAACATTAGGTAAAAATTGAGCAAATCACAATTCAGCTGAGTGCATGCATTTGAATGATAATGCCATGAGGTCTGTCTTCTAGCAGAGCTTGGTGGCCGGGCCTGGTGCCACTCTTTTGCTCTCGGGCCACCAGTAAATCATGAAGATAACTTGTTATTTTCACATGTGAAGATATCAAGTTTTTGCCTGAAAGCTCACCTAGTATTTCATTGGTGTTTATATTATTAATAAAAGTGTTTTTCAAAGTGAAACAGATGCATTAAAACTGTGTTTTAATCCAGAGTTTAAACATACGTTTGGAAGGATTTATGAACTTTTTATCACTTCACCTTTTCAAGATCACATCTTGTTAATATTTTTACAGGTGTGCTTTGTAAAAAAATGTTTCCCGAGAAACAAGTCAGGATAGTCGAGGTGTAATTATTCACACACCTGGCTTTGTACATGTACAATTGAGTCTATTGATAGTGTAATTTAAGAGCGAAATTTCAGCCTTCATAAAGTTTTTTCATTTCTGAATGTGACTTGTTTGTAATAATTTGTAGCATGTTTTACAAAAAAAACTGTACATTGTACATCAGTGTAAAAGAACGGTTTTTATCGTGTATTTGTTAGTTTGATTGCTTAACTGATTCTCACACTACTTTACTTTGTTTTTAGAGTCACGTCGACCTGTAAAACCTAATGAGTACAGCATCTCCCATGCTCACCCTCGACCTATTGCTAACAAGTCACGCACAATGAGTCCTGTTGGAACACCATCCAGTTTTTCATCATCAGGCTCAAGTCTGACGTCACCTACAGGTCCTTGCCCACTTTCCATTCCCAGGCATGTTATAGATGGCCAAAACAAATCTAGGTCATTGAGTGACCCTCCAGAAGCCTCCTTAGATCCTCCAGTAGTTCCGCGTGGGACTGTTAGAAGGCAGTCAGAACAAATTGGAAGTAGCACACTCCCTGGTCACGTTCATGGGGTACATAACAAGGCACGTCTTTCAGGGAATCTTTTAGAAGCTTTCAATGCTGAGCCTCGTAGACCTTTGTCTGGGGATGCCTATGACAATTTACCCAGTCCCAAGAAAGTTGTAGGACATTCAGTGTCCACCCCTGCAGTAGATTCTGTCAGTCACCAGGAAAATTATGACAATGTCCCAATACCTAGAGCACTTAGTCCTGTGACCAGTCCTTTGTCGCCAAGACCACCATCGGGGCATCACTTGTCTCCTGACAAATATGATAAACTGCCCACACCACGCCCTGTTTCCCAGGGGAGTAACAGGTCTTCCCAGGATGTGTATGATTTAGTACCACCCCCAAGACCAATGTCTTCTTGTAGTCAAAGTGATCAAGGCTTGTACGACGTGCCGCCAATTGGAAGGATGGACAATGAGGAAAACTACGATGTTGTTCCTCCTCCACGGCCAATGTCATCTAGTAGTCAAGAAGATCAAGGCTTGTATGATATTCCTCCACGCGGAAAAATTGGTGATCAGGACAACTATGATTTTGTTCCTCCCCCAAGGCCAACATCGTCTTGTAGTGATGATGGCCAAGCACTTTACGATGTTCCTCCAATTGCTAAGTCACCAGAACAAGAGAACTATGACTTTGTCCCTCCGGTATCCAGACCAGTTGCTCCTAAGCCAAGTCATCTTCAGGCTGGTAGATCTCAACAAAATTATGATGTTTTACCAGTGAGACAAAGTATTTACGATGTCCCCCCAGTGTTTAGATCACAAGAAGAGGAAAACTATGACATCGTACCACCTTCCCGACCAGTTGCTCCCAAACCAAACCATATTCATCCTGGTACTGCACAGGAAAATTATGATTCCTTACCATTACAATGGACATCACAGCCTGTGTGCAATGGACAAAGCACAATGGACGAACTCCTTAATGGGAGAGTGTCAGATCAGGAAAACTATGATCATGTTCCACTCATACATCGACCAGTTGCACCAAAATCCAACCATATTCAGCAACGCTTATCACAAGAGAATTATGATGTTGTGCCAATACGACAGAATTCACCCAAGGTTTCACAAAGCCCAAGTGTGTATGATAATCTTACTTCTGAACGGTCTTCCACTCAGGAAAACTATGACATTGTTCCTTGTTTAAACAGACCAGTGTCCACATTATCGAGTCCTACACAACCTCGTACTTCACAAGATATTTATGATATTGTACCAATTCCTCGGCCATCAGATGATAATTATGATATTGTCCCTCCACCGAGGGCAATATCGACATCTTATCAACCTGGTAATTCCTCAAGCATTCAAAGTAATGGTTTGGGTGAGCATAATCAACGTTTTTCAGACATTTACAGTGTTCCCCCAAAACTACAGTCATCAGATTCTAGTGAACATGTGCCACCTCCAAACACTCCATACCGACCAGGTAAAGATGCCTACGACCCTCTTCCAAGCACTAATCGGCCGGTGAGTGCAGATTCTGGGCTTAATGCATCTTCTTCAAGCATCTGTTCTTTAAAGTCTGATGGGGATTACGGGCAAGAGGATCGGTATGATGCTCCTTTGCCAGCACTCCCGACACAGTCAAGAGATTCAGGATCTTTAAGTGATGAGGATAGAGAATCAAGTGATATTTATGATGTGCCGCCCAACTGGGGATCCAACAATAATGCACTACCAATGACTTCAGATGAAATCTATGATGTGCCCCCAAACCATAACCAAGGTGTGAAAATCTTGTTATTCTTACTTACATGTAAAGGGTGGAAAAATGGTTCTTTACCATGAGCACATGTAACCAACTGTAGCTTGCAGATACAGCCCCCAGTCATAGGGATGTAAAGATTAAGTTTTTGCCTGGTCCTAAAGCTGTGCTCTAAGAGCAATTGAACAGACCGTAGCCTGTAAATACAGCCGTTTCTCCTTGCTCCTCGCCGCTAAGGACATTACTCGGTGACAGAAATTCCATATTGATGACCTAAAATCTGTCCGGAATCTGGTCAGGAGCTCTGATTGGTCGATGTAGTAGTTATATACTGTTTTAACTATTGATTATGAATGACAGAAAAAAGGCCATAAAGGTAAAAATTAATGTAAACATGATGAATCTATTACAAAACAGTCAATATTCCTTGAATAAAAAGCATCTGAGTTTTGCTGGAGCTCGTTCACAAAAGATCACAAAACTTTACCATAATCGACCAGGAGAAACATAAAATCAAACAAATTTACATTTGGAACCCCATGACTACTGGATTTATTATGTAAACATTGATTTACGTCATCAGTATGGAATTTTTGTCGCTGAGTCACAGATGTTCCTCCTGGCGAAACATTCCTGGTGGCAGGGGAGCTAGGAGAAACAGCTGTATTCACAGGCTAAAGGCCAAACCCAGTTCCTTGAAGCTTTGAGATCAAATTTGCATGCATGAAGAAAAGTACTACATACATGTACAAATGTAAGACACTAGGGGTCACTGGGTGCTGCTAGAGTATGGCCCTGGGGTTTTGATGGTATTTTTTCTTGTTTTAAGTTTTTGAAAAGTTCTGCATTACTTTTCATTAATCATCTTGTTATTTTTGTACCTTCTGGGTCTGTCAGTAAGTCCAAGTGAGTCTGTGGCGAGTCCTGTGGTTGATCGTTCCACAAAGCCCCCCCCAATGGTCAATAGAGCTGCTAAACCAAAGACAGGAAAAGAAAACCACAGCTACTGCAACATGCCACCAAAAGTTGACAGAGAACTCAAATATAAAAGTTGCGCAGTAGCACCACCTGAGCACAACTATATGAACTACGGTTTCCATGCACCGCAGCGTCCTCAGCATCTGCCTTTGGTTAAGACTCTACCAGGGAACCACTATGTTGGGGCTTTTCCTAACCAAACTGATCGATGGTCTTCAGGACCTCTCGATGATGCAGATTATCTTCCTATGCAGCCACCCACAAGATCAGAAACAACACGCTGCTACAGCTTCACTAAAGAGGAAAAACCAGGATCAAGAGCAGTTGATCAATGTTATGAGGACATGTCAGCATTGCAGACTAGGAGACATTCTGGGGGAAAGAGTTCGTCATCTTCAACATCATCGTTGGCTGATAATGATGATTTGTACATGGCAATGGGACCCTCCCAAGTGAGTACAGTTACCAAATCCACCTCTTTAGGCCTCTACATAGTGGCAGTTCTGAGGCTAGGGGAGGAGTGGAGCTTATGTTGTGTAAAGGAAGGCAGGGAAGAGGGGCTTAATAGAGATGGGGTGCTTATTTGAGGGGCTTATTTAATTGAGTGAAGGTGTTGGTATCAATTCTCCACAAAAACTTAAAATGCACGGGCACATAAGGTTGGAGGTTGTGCAGCCAAAGATCAAACTAACAAGTCCAAACTTCCAGCACATTAATAAGCCATACTGGATCGATCCATACGAAGCGTTACAGCCACGATTGATAAAAATTAATTCAGTCTGTAATTTAAGAATAGGAGAGAGGGGAGCGGGCTTTCTTCCCCTACAAATGGGTGGGGGGTTGGGGTTATTAGAGAAGCAGGGCTTCATAGAGAAATTACAGTATGCCTTAGGGTTGAGAGGGTATACTTCTTGTCTCTGACTGGGGAGCAGAGTATAAATTAACCGACACTACTCTGAAAGATGTTCAAGTTTTAACTTAAAAATATGCAGAAAGGTACATGTGGTGAAGTACATGTTGTGAGAGAGCTGAACCAGATTTGTATAGCATGAAAAATGCGGTCATGTTGCTACTCCCTTCTGGATGGGTCGTTATTCCATTGTAGGGTGACCCTGTCAGTACATCATCAGTACTGGTACCCATTTAAAAATGTGCAGGGCGAAGAGAGACAAAGCGGTGTTAAGTTTCCATAATTCTAGAGAAATGATAACATGGCAAGGCTTTACTCTCAGAATGGGCTTAATCCTCCCAAGGATCCCTGGCATGCATCCATTCAAGTCATGATACATGCCAACTCTCCTGAATTGAGCACTGATCTCCTGTATGGGTCACCAGATCTCACCGGTAAAATGGACTTTTGAGCTTTTCCATGCTTTAGTTTGAAATTTAGTCTATTTTTTTCTCAAACTTTGAACTTTTTTTTATTCATTGCCTGGTTTCTGGGATATTTTTGCATGTATTTAATCACTGACAAAAATTATTTTGTCATTACAATGATGAAAGCGAATTTTGATAGTATGTACGTCATGTAAGATTTCATGTAATGTCCTAAGCCACTTCCATGTCATAATTTGGTGGCTGGGCCAATAGTGCAAAAAGAGAGTCTCCAGATTTTTAGATCTCTGGAGGTTGGTATCTCTGTCAAGTACATGTACATGTATGCTCCCCAAGCTTCTTTATCACTGAGCCTTAGTTGAAGCTAGTACACAACAGGGGCATTATTTTAATTTGTGTCTTGCGTTATTTTGTCTGGAGGAGGGTACTTACATCTATTTTACAGTTTGGGTATTTTTATTTTGCATCCTTGGAACAGGGTTGCAAATTCTTCTGTCTGGAACAGGTCCAGAGTATCAGACATGCAACAGCACATGCCACACCTGCAGTAAATTTAAGGAAGTACTTACCTTCCCCAGGGTAATACACATAGGATACATTTGCATGCAAACTGATAACTGCCCAGTTTCAGGGTTTTCTTTAAGAATTCTAGAAGCAGGAGAAAGGTGTAATGTTACAGGAGAATATTTTGAAAACAGCCCCATGTCTGAATAAATAATAGTCAGTGGCTACTGAACATTAGCCGGAGAATCCTGTGTAGTAAACAGAGAATTCTCCCATATCTGATGCCTGATGAACACCCTGAGTTTAAATATTTTTTTGAACTGTGTTGTCTCATAGATGGAACAGAGACAGCGACGAGATCTTCTGTATGCAGAAGTTGAGATTGTTGATGGAGCAAATCACGTGGCACCAGTCCCCAGCCCATCTAGAAGAGAAAACACTCAGTACACCTACATTAATGAGGAGTCTACGAGAGCTTTGCTTCAAACATCTCACGCTTGGCATGGGAATCGGTGAATAATAATGGCTAAGGGCTATGAATAGGCCATTTTCGAGTTCCTAAAACTCTTACTTTCAAAATGAGGCTTTGTGCAAGACCTTTCTTGTGAAAACGAGTTTCATTTGCATGAGAAAAAATGATTTCTTATTAATGGTTTTGCACTTAGCCTCTCTTTGAAACAGAGGCTAATAAGGCAACTTGGAAGTAGCCTGGGACCAGGCTCCACAGTGGGGCAAAAAGAGAAACAACAGGGTCAAATAGGAAAAATATTGGCCTGGGAAGGGGGAAACCCTTTTCCCTCCCCTGACTACCTTTTGGCTCGGTTTGCTGGCGATTTTTTTTTTTGCCCACACACCGATTTTTTTCTCCTTTTTCCCCAATGCAGAGCCTGGTCCCATGCGACTTGGAAGTAATCCTTTGCATGGTCATTTCCTTCTGTCTGTAACTGTTAAGCAAAATACAGAGACATCTCTGTCACTTGCATTAACACTCTTGACTTGTTAAGATAATGCTGTACCAAATTTCATACACTGATTGGACAGTTTTGTACGGACAACTTGGTCACACTGATGTGTTGTTCCAGCCATTTTGTGTTGTCTGCAGACATTTTGGCCGCATTTTCATTGTTTGACAAGTGTTATGTAACAAAAAAGATATTATTGTAGAGTTTCAAATGTTAAAGAAACAGACGTTTAAACAGATAATAACAACATTATGAAGAAATTGTACAGTTTAGTTAAATTTATGGAAATTGGAACTCTTTGCCTTGAGTTCACTTACTTTGATAGCAAACCTAGACTGCTTAAGTTAAATTGGTCTTTTCCTGAAAATTACAGTACTCTGTCTGTTTGAAGAAATTAGCAGTGACATAAAAAAACAATCATTATTAAGCATAACATTCCATAATGGTCAATGAGAATTTTTTGATATGACTAACCAATAATATTCTTGTTGAAGTTTACACTGTTTTTAGTGTAACATTAGTATTTTTGCTCCATTTCATAAACTTTTTGCTTTACAAGTGATTCTTGAACAATGGTAAACTGTACATTTTGATCTGTGCTATGTGGAATAATTTGCTACATGTAGAATTATTGTGATAAGCTTGAAGGCTCAAAGACTGACAAAATAATCATTATGAAAGAAAGTGGCTTTAGATCCCATAGCAAACCCAATGTTATTGTTTTGATTGAAGTCTCCCAAATGACAAAGCATGTTGGTGGATGTGTGATAATCAAGAACAGTGACAAAGAGTTGTGTTATAAATGAAAGCAACTTGCTTATAACTTATGTGCAACATACCGGATAGAAAGCTGATACTAGACACAAAAAACTAAAAATTAGTGTAAAAAAAGTATTGTAAGATTTACAAATTAACTTTTATGTTTTTTAAATTTATTGTTTCTTTTGCATCAAATAAATTATTTTTGCTTAAATATAAGTAAAGTTGAAATGCACTTTACAGAAGCCAAGTTTACAATCCTGTGTTTAGTACCTGCACTTAATTTCTAATACGACAACATTTTGTAAAACAAGTGATTATTAATTATTATTTTTGTTCTAAAGAGAATTTTGCTTTCTTTATTAACTATAATAGTAAATTGATAATGATAACTGTTTTTCGCAAACATGCAATGGTTATCTTAGACTCGTAAAACTTTTTTGTACAAGTGAATTAAATATTTTTGGATTGCTATTTGTGAGTTATTATAAGATTGTACTTAAGGAAAAATCATAAAATGTGTCGTTACGTAAACTTTTGTGTGCTACTTATTACCAAAGAATGAAGGCTGTATAAAGCTTGCCAATGTAACTTTTGAAAAGCCTTTCAAATTAACAGAGCATCTCGAGGCAAGCTTTTTGATGATGGCTTCAGGCTCTTGAAACATTTTGTAGCTGTATGCTAGAAGGTGGAATAATTATAACGCTAATTTTGTATTTAGCATAATTTATTGTTTGTTTTGTCTCTGAATTAATCAATATATATAGAATTTTGGTGGGAATACATGATGCTTTCTGCCTGTGCTTGGGTACTACATGTATGTTCTTGTAGAACAGTATTGTAAATATACAAGATTTTAGCAATTGAGATTTTTTAGCTGCAAAACCATTTTGAAATAAAGAAAATTATGAATGGTCTCATTAATGAGTGATGTGCCTTTTCTAGGGAAGGTTGGGTGAAGGGAAGATACTCTATTTGTCCTGGCCCCCTTTTCTCTCTGTCATCCAGAGAGATGAAGGGAGAGCCTGTACTGGGATATTTATCCCTTAGCCTCTAGTAAGGTCTAACCTCCATGTAAGTCCTCATCCAATTTTAGCTGCCAATCAATAAGCCCCTCTGTTGCGTGAACAAGATGAAACAAATCCTGTATTCTGATATGCCACCGAGTGGACAAGATGGGCCCATCCTGCATCTGTCTTGCATCGCCCCACAGAAAGCTTGCTCGCAGGGTAGTCCAACAACAAAAAGTTATCTTTTCGGCCATTTAGGTATTAAATCCTTTATTGACCGAGCTTCTTCAGTCAAGATGGCTGGGGATTGTTATTTTTTGGCGTTGTCATTGACCTTGACTTGTCTTTGTCCAGAAAAACACAAGTAAAGAACTTGGCCAATGTCCAGTCAACTTGACCAAGAACGCATATTGCTTCAACTAAGCCTTCTACCCATAAAAACTGCAAATTACAGTCTGACTTAAATTGGCCCACATCCAACAAAACCTTGTGGTTAGAGCGAATAAAGTTGACGGCAAAGACTATCAATTTGCAGATGAACAAAGATATTAAAATATTCCTTGAATTGCATGTGGATGATAATTTTTAACTTTTACAAGATTTGGAGCACATCAATAACAATAAAATGTATTCAAAATGTTTTTTTCTGAATGAAAATGTCTCCTTAGTATCATAATGAAACTCCCCTTGCAAAGTGAATAAAACATTCCCTGGCTGATTTTTCTGTGATTTGTTCAATAGAGGTGACAGTAAAAATAAAAATAATAATAATAAAAAATAAAATAATGATAATGAAAGAACTTGTTGAGACGTTTGAGAAGGCTATCCTGTTTGGCAGGCTTTAAAGGGGGAAGGGGAGGGGGAATTTGGCACGCAAGAACTTGACGTTCATGCGAGGAAGGGAAAAAGAGAAGGTTAGAGTTACGTGTAGGGAAAAAAAGGTTCCCTTTCCCGATCCCAGACCTTGACATGAAGGGGGGGGCTGGTCATCCAGACCCTTAGATAAGGAAGGTGGGGCAGTCTCCAAAAAAATTTTTCGGCCCTTTGGGCCTCCGTTTGGTCTCAAGATAAGGGGCGACCCCAGGTCCCCCGGGCCCCTCCCCTGGACCTGACACAGTGAATTTCCACACTACCTGCCACGCAGGCTAGGAGAAGGCAGGCAGTCGGGCAATTTTAAAGTTTCATTAACTTTGATACCACCTCAAAATTGATCACTTGGAGTTTGATTATCAAAAGAATTGTTGAGTGGTAGCTCTAAGGGTTACTAGCACAAATCATAGACAAAAAGGAGTTTTCTATCATTGTTGCATTTAAAATTTCTTCTTATTAAGAATATCTTTAAATTTTATTTTTGGTCCATAAAAAGTCTGTGCAGGGATTTAATTTAATTATTATTAGCTTATTCACAAGCAGCTTGGTGGGTGTCAAGATGACAAGGAGGACAACAGTTCATGGCAAGTGGCATCATGGTGACAAAAAATAACAAGAGCCACAGCAATACCAACTGTTAATAATGAAAATAACAATAACAGTCCAATCAGATTTCCATCCTCATCTGCAATAGAAATAATGTACATTTTACAATTCAAAAACACTGAATGAATTTGAATTAAAAATTACTAAGACATTCAAGAACTAAATTTTCAAAAGAATGCCAAAAAAACTCTTTGTTCACAGAATTACACTGTACAACCTTTCAAGTATGTCAAATTGGGATATTTTTTGATGACACATGAATCACACACTTGCTGGGCATGCTCCCCAAAAAATTTTGAAATCTTGATACTCTGAATCACCATTTCTAGTGTTCTGAGAGGAAATTTCTGTTTAAAGTGTCCACTAAGTCAATTGTCATTTTCATACTTTTAAGTTTATCTGGATATCATCTTAGGTGTTCCTGTATAAGGATCATAAGAATTTCTTTTGAAATATCAGAACAGATGTCAGAATGGGGATTTTTTTTCTATCCTGGGGCATGTTTCTCGAAAGTTCCAGTAACTTTTCACGCCTGGAATACTGTGTTAGATTTGCCAGGTTTGCATTTGCCCGTGTCACATACGCTCTAAACCTTCCGTATTGAAGCTAAGTTTAGACAAGTGCTTGGGCTGGCTGTAATGCAGGCTAAGTTTTCATTCAAGACCAAAGTTGAAATAATTTTGAAAATGATAAAATTCAACAGGTTTTGATTTTAAAATTTGCCTTTGAGGCCTGAATTATTTAGTTATCACGCCTTTCGAGAAATGGGCCCCTGATCCTATATTGATTAGAATTTGGGATTTTGAAGCAACTAGGGAGTCAGAATCCCTACGAAATCAAGATAGTTCGAATATTTTTCATATAATTTTTATACTTTTAATTTGTCTTTTGAGGTTCTCAACACTATCAAGAAAAAGAAATAAGAACTTGCCTTGACTTTGAGGATCAGGTTTGGGGGGTCTTGTTTCCATGAATTCTTCCTGGGCTGTGTAGAAAAATGATAGTTAATTAGAGTTTTCCTACAACATGCCCTGCCATAGCAGGGCTAAAAAAAGTCCCATCTGATAGTCTGGGACAAGGGGATTTTCTTGCTGGCAAGCAAAGAAGCTGCAATTGCAGTGTTCGTAAACAACAAGCTGGAATTCAAGTTTTCTTCAAGCCCTTCCATTATAAACCCTTTAAGTTCCAATATCGATAATCAAATTCTCCACACTGAACTCCTTACATTTCCTTCTGGAGTAGTTGAGAAAATTTGATAAAAGATCACAGCATTTTTCACATGTGATCAGCTTATTAATTCTGATAACCATTTCTCTTAACAATGTATGGATATTGTAAGGAGAAAATTGATGTTGGTCACTATAAGGACCTAAAGGGTTAAGGGGTAGCGGGGATAAGAGTGATCAATGGCACATGTAAGAACATTCGCCACCCAACAATGTGGCCTGATCAGGTTCAAGACCCAGTGTCATTATATGGGTTAAGTTTGTCTTGCTATTTCTCATAAGTTTTTCCCTCTCCTCAATAACTAATAAATTATACATGTAATTTTTTTATACATGCATCTACTGTCCAAATCCATCTAGGAATTTTCTCCAATTGGGAACACTTGAAAGGGCTAAAGGTTTATCAGTTTGGAAGACAGTCAAGTGTCGCTTTCTCGAACTATGTCCAGTGGGTGTGAATACATCCTCCCTACAAAAAAGAAGGAAATTGACCTTTTAAATCCTTGTCTGTTTCTTCAGCCATCATCTTTTTTTGTCTCTCCATTGCTTCATAAGCTTCTCTCTTCAACTGTTTTTCTTGCTGTTTTTTAATCCGCTTTCTCACTTGCTTTTCACGTTCCTTTTCCTCTTCCAGTGCTTTTTGTTCTGAAAGAGATGCAACGCTACATTTTAGAACCTTGGATGTGTACTAAAGGGGCAATTAATTAAAGGTCTGCAACTGACACACTCCCAAGAGGGGTGTACCCTGGATTCCAAGTGAAGGGGATGATCAAATAAAGGAGAAACCCAAAAAAATCGAGAGGGCTTCCAACAAAACCTAAAAAAAACCCTTTTGGGCTGTTTTGAATACCCTTTCCCCTAACCCCCCCCCCCCAAAAAAAAAAAAAAAAAAAAAAAAAAAACAACAACAACAACAACAAATCCCAGAAAGGAAATGGAAAATTTCAAACCTAGGACGTAAATGTCAGTGGTGTGGACAACCTTTCATGGTCTGGGTAGGTAGTGAGGGGATTGATATCAATAAACTTAATTGACTTTGCTTTATTGTTTATTGCTAACCAATCATACATATCATATTATTATCACAATGATCATATTATTATCACAATGATATGTACAAGTATAGCTAGGGCAAAGGGAAACACAGCAATAAGCCCTGGAGGACTACTTTAGAATTCCTCAAGCGCATAACAGGTGTTTAAAATCTACCTTTCGGAAAAAGATAAGGAATAAGCTCTTTGAAATTTATCTAAATCTGATGACTATCTTGAAATCACTGAAATCATGCATCAACTTAAATTTAACTAGCTCAGGAACACAACTAAATTTATATTCTCTGTGTAAATCATATTGCAATTAAATTAGCTTAATACATACTATAGTTTTTATTTTGCGACAGCTGGTACTGTTTGTAAAATAGTTCTTTTTTTCTTTTCTTTCTTTAAATTTGTGTGTCTCTTCCCCCGCCTCGATTAGGCTCTCCTATACGCGGGTGGAAGCTATCGTGTAATTGTAAATTGAAAGTGAATGAATAAAGTTGAAGTTGAAGTTGAAGTTGAAGTTTATTCGAGTGTTCAAGCCCTCAGTCAGATCATAACAGGTCCTTGAACAATCAACAGGGTCTCTCCATGCACATCCTTACCTTTTTCTAATGATAATCTAACTAGGTTTGCTTGTTCTTCATTTGCAGCTAGGGTTTTGAGATGCCTTATGACCTATGGAGAGCAAAACAGGGTCCTTTTGTATTTTGTATGCACAGCAGGAGCAATGTAACAAAAAGCACAAAATAAATGAAACAAACAATCAAGTTTCACTCGAAGTTGTATCGTTTGGTTCTTTAGTTAATGTTTCTTGCGCTTTTACAAACAAGAAACAGCGAAAAAAAAAGCTACAGTCTCATTTGAACCTACAGCATATAACCATTCTTTTATTCTCTTAAACAAGAAGCCAGCTCCGGCCCAGACCACTGGGCCATGCTGCCACTGGACAACCTATTAGGTAAAATGAATACACTTAAAGCATTGTTCCCTGCCCTACACCCTGTTTGAAGATTGTAGAGCTGTATTCCAGGAAAATTAGCTTAAACGAGTATTTCAAAGGCATTTCACATTATTTCCGTGTTTATTCATTCTTGGGCTTAACAGCTGACTGATGTACATGCTCGTCTTCTTCTCTGTTGCTCGAGTGGTATTTCAAGTTGCCGTTCTTACTGCAGCGCAGTTTTGATTGTAAATATTCCCTGCTGACAGGGCTGCAAATAATTTCCCGGCTGGTGCCGGTCAAATTGACCGGTCAAACCTATTTTTGCTCGGACATATCCCATTTTTGGCCGGACAAACATTGATTACATCTTATCGTTATAAAGGTACCCCATCACCCCTTCACATGATGTTTAAATATGAAACAAGTAAATTTTCAAAGCATTTATTGTACATGAGCATCGATCTCAATGCAGGAAAAGTGGAACGCATGGTACAGCAAAATCAGTATCACATTTGTGCCTACTACTACTGCTTGAGTTCTATGTCTTATATATGGTTAGTTATGAAGTTGATGAAATTGACTGAGGCTTGCAATCTAGTTGATTTTAAATGTTGCCAGAAACAGGGAAGCTCTTTCCCTAACATGCGTGATTGAACTTTTAAAATACAATAATGGAAGAGATTTTTTAGACATCCGTAGCCTGTTCACAGACCCTCTATTTTCTCTTAAAAGTCCGTTGAGCGCGGGTGATAAAATATGAACCGCCTGGTGGGGGAAGATAAATATACATATTCTTTATTTTTCTTTCTCACGCTCCGCGCTCGCTTCGCTCACCAACGTTTTTGGAAAGAATGAAAAGAAAAATAAAACGTCTGTTTACTGGCTAAGACATCCGAGGACATCATCTTACGAAAACGCGGTTTGGACATGTAACAAGGGAACACCCGGATGCACTGGAAAGGGTTTTCGAAGACGTTGATGACTATGTTCATTAACAGTTACTGAAGTCGTTACATACCACATTGACAACATTTATAAAGGATTATCGCAAATACAATTTCTTTCTAATCCATTGTGTTTCAACCTGTCAACGGTGAAACTTACTGCATTTTTGCTTCAGTCAAGTTTGAGAAGAATTTTTCAAATATTTCTGATATAAATGACCCACGCATCATGCGTGACACGTAACACAATGAAATCCGCAGTCAATCGTTGGAGATAGACCAGGTAAAGTTTACATGTTGTCATATGTGAATTTACTGCTAAAAAGGTTTGTTTCCCTGGAAAATAGAATGTTTTGTTAATCGCGGTATTTATAGCTTAAGTGATTAACACGGAAATGTCGACGAGTAGACAAATGAATGTAAGCTTGCTTTCTTGTTATTGTTATTTTCACTCTTAAATTTTGAAGACAAAGGGTGCCATGACCCTTGTATCGACACTGAGAGGTTTTGCTGTCCTTCTCACATCATGTTTACAAAACCCACATGGACTAATAATAAAGTAATTCACACCCGTGACTGGTACACATTTGTAAGACCCGCTAATTTGCGGTGACGACTTGGTGAATGACAAAGCCATGACAGCCAGAAATTTTGTGACTACTAAAAAGTTCTTGGTCTGGTAGTTAAGTATCCGTCTTTTCCCCTCCTTTTTCACAAACGCCAATAATATTGAACCTTTAAATATTTAAAACTTGAAACTCTAAATTTTTTCCTTACCAGCGTAGACGACCGGACAAATTGTCCGGCCATCTAAGGATTTGACTGGACAAAACCTATTTTTGACCAGACATTGTCTGTTGACCGGCCATTATTTGCAGCCCTGTGCTGAGGATTTCCAGCCTTATGTTGAATGGAACATTCTTGTGCTTGCCATTCTCTTTCAGTTGCCTGAGAAACTGGTCATGATTCACCGATAGTAAACATACATGTAGTTTGATAGATGATTCATTCGCACTTGAAAATGTGTTACCTGGCAACCCTAAAATGCACACTTGATGACTTCACATGCAGACACCCAAAGAGATATAATTTATAGAAATATTGCCAACTACAGTTTCTTCCTTGCTGTGTGATCCATGTGATACACATGCTGCTCACTTGACAAATTTACAAATTTGCTACACGAAGGTGTCTTCAATGCCTCGCTTTGCAAGGAATTCAATTTTCTTCTCCTGTCAGTGATTTAAATTTTAACTTTGCACTTGACAGCGATGACTTGTGGTCATCGAAACAAAGCATCAGTCATTCTTTAACAGTGTAATAATAATAATATGAATACTGGAAAGTACACGTATACTTACATTTATTGCACATTGTCTACATTCATCTTCACTTAAACAATTTCCAATAACATCAGGCCACAGTGTTTGTATAGGGTTACTCTTCAGGTCCAACCATCTAAGTTGCTCAAGATCTACACAGCTAAGGGGTAAACTGCTGAGTTGATTGCTGTACAAGTCAAGCCGCTTGAGTTGATTAAGGTTGCCGAACTCTGTTGGAAGTTCTGTGAGAGCATTTTTACTTAAATCCAGCCGCACTAAATGCCGCAAAGTACAAAATGCATCCTGATGAAAAGCAAACAAATAACATCATAATATTGTAAACACTAACTGTCTTTTCATTGGCTAAGAGCCTACAGTTAATTTTGGAAATCAGCGCAACTAACAGATTAGTCAGTACATGTAACTAGCAGATAATTGACTAATCTGTAGGTTGTGTGTGTAATGTATGTTGTATTATTTTCTTCAAATCAGTGTATAACAACATTATTATTAGATTCAGTTTTTGTGATATACAGAATAATCGAGGTCTGAGTAAATGTTATCAGTCTTGGCCTTTGGCTCAGCAGATAATAATCAGCTTATTACGGATTTCATGCCTCAAGAAGTGTCTCTTTAGGGTATAGATGACTTTGCTGGCGGTCTTGTCTTTGAGGGGGTCGATCTCAAGGTAGCTTGAGTAGTAATCCACAGTACAGAGGTAATCTCTATTGTCAAAGTGAAAGATGTCAGAACCGACTGTTCCACAGGGGTGGCTTGGGATCTTGTGTGAGATCAGTGGTTCTTTGGGCTGTTCTTTCTTGTAGCTAGCACAAAACCTCGTTTTTTTTTTTTGATACCAGAGTGTGCACCATGTAGACACTCGTGGATCTTAGGTCTGAGGCTTGCCAGAATCAGGCATTGAAGACCTTTGAAGAGATCTCCATCCTGGGCTGTCAGTTCATCGCGAACGTCAAAGTAGGGGTGAAGTTCTATCAGCAGATCATCTTTCTTCTCTGGCCAGCCCTTTACGATAACTTGGGTGAGGGACTGTAGGACAGGTTCTGCTGCTGTTTCTTGCTGGATCTCTGCAAGCTGTGGCTCTAAAATGGCTAAGAAATCGACGGCATGGATTTGCTCGACCTCTTTTTCAGTGAGGGAGCGGAGCAGGTAAGCGCGGGACAAAGTATCTGTAACAAATCTCGACATCGTACTGTTGTAGTCTCAAGAGTAGGCACTGGAGTCGTTTCGGTGCTGATGCTAAGGGTTTCTTGCAAATAGTCTCCAATGGCTTATAGTCAGCCCACAGAACAACTCTTCTACCATAAACAAAGTGATAGTTACGCTCCACTCCAATACTTGGGCTAATAGTTCCTTCTCTATTTGAGAATAGTACTTCTCACTGGCTGTGAGAGCTCAACTTGAGTATGATACAGGTTGCCCATTCTTCATCAATACAAATCCTATACCACTGGAAGGAGAATCTCCCTGACCTTCCACGGGTTCAGCAGAATTGAATATCTCAGGACTGGAGCTGAAGTGACAGCAGGCTTGATACTTTGCAATGCTTCTTCTTGTACTGCTTCAACCAACTCACAATGTCCTTGTGAGTTAATCTTCTCAGTGGTTGCAAAGTTCTGAGAGCTTTTTTAGAAACGCGGACATGTTGTTCACTAGGCCTACCAGTCTTCTAACGGCAGCTACATCCTTTGGTCTTTCCATTTTCAGTATGGCGTCAACTTTTCTTGGGTCAGGTTTCACTCCTTCAGGTGTAAGAACATGACCAATAAAGAGCGTTTCTGATCACTTCAATTGTAGCTTCTCTCGGTTAAGCTTCAAATTTCTCTCCCTGTGCCTGTCTAACCGCTTCAGCAAATTGGCATCATGATTCCTCTAAACTCTGATCCAGTTTTCTCTGAAAGTATTCTGGTGAAAGACAAATTCCAAAGGGCATTCGAAAATATCGGTACTTGCTGGATTCTTCACCTAACAGTATCTGCAAGAAGCCATCTCAAAGGTCTGCCTTTAAAAACACTTGGGAAATATGTCCTCAATGACTGGAAACAGATAGTGACTTCTTTTGAGGGCTTCATTGAGGTGCTGAGGGTTGATGCATACTCTAAGCTTCCTGTTTGGTTTCTCTGAAACAACTAGACTAGACACCTAGTTGGTTAGTTCTTCTTCCTTGAATATAACACCTGCTTTCTCTAGGCGAGTCAGCTCATCTTTCAACCTATCCTTCAATGTTAGAGGCACACGACGAGGAGGCATACACCTGTAAGTGCCAGAGCAACAGTCTTGTCTACTTGCAGGGGAAGAGCTCCTTCCATACATCCTAAGCCTTTGAATACATCACTGTAAGAAGCAGTAACCTCCTCCATGACAGTCAGTTTTAACCGTTATTGTATTTAACCTTTACAAATAATGTAAATAAACTGACCAATAATAATATTATAACTCAACATGTTTTTCTGGGATCCTAAAGTTAAATATTTCTTTGGGGATTTCCAGAGGATTTTTTATTCTGTTTTCGCTAGTAAATAGAGGCTCAATGCTGCTATTAATGAAATTTGAATGCCAGGGCCAAGTTGTTTGAAGGCCGATTAGCGCATAATCCGGAGTCAAATTTACCCCGGGTTTCTTTTTCTTGTGTTCAAAAGTACTTTCTCAGATAATTTTCTCTGTTACTTTTAGAGCTTCCAATCATCAACTGTAGACAAAAAGAATTAAAACTGAAATTCTTTTTAAACTTTCAAACCTGAATTCAAATCTCGCACTAACCCTGGGTTATCGTAACCCAGCTTTGTACAACTCGGCCCAGTTGTTTATCATTTATCGTTTATCATCTCACCGGTAGGGTGGTTAAGTTGTTACAAGAGAGATCCACAACTCTTGCTTTAGGCAGAGATGCCTGTGGAAAAAAAAGAATAACAATACAACTTGTGCTTTAATTTAAAAATATACACACAGACTGACATGTAGGTATAAGTCTATGAGCTTTTAAAGAAGATTGTTAAGACTTTATTATAACTTTTCTTATCATAGTCAGTTAGCAGCCGATCGCGCCAGCCAACAGCGTGGCTGAATTTTACCGCTAAATGAAACTAATAAACGAATGTCTGTTTACGTTAATGATAACTCAAAACGATGCCGTCAAACGACTCATTTCACATCACGAGTATTTCTCATAATTGTTTTTTTATTGACTTCGTCTGCGAGAGATCTAATTGCCTAAGACAGACCACCATTACCGCACTCCCTTATCACGAACTAATCACCTTTATACTGTATTTCGCCCTACGGTAATCGCCAGTAAAATTCTTGAGGAACCGGATTCACAGCAAAATCAATTCGTTTGTTCCAGTTAATAAAGAGTTCTTGTGAAGCCTTAGCTTCGTGGCAAATTTGCGCGCGACCTTTTGTCCTTTTTGCGGTGCTCGATAATCTTTGATCGAAAGCCGAAAGAACTCACCATTTCTCTCACAGGCACCTTAGCTAAATTGCAAAGACTCAAGTCGAGTTCTTCCCCATCAAACTTGTCCTTTATCTCCTCCTTAGAGAGTTTTCTGGTCATACTTTACGGTTACCTGTGTTATAACAGCTGACTCCCTCCTCGTCTCGTCATCCCAAACACAACTTGAGCCCACTGTATGACTTACCAGCCGCTGTGTTTTCGAAACGGGTAGATACTTCATATATGATAATTATAGTGTACCTTGATTGAGTACCCAGAATAGGCCATTTGCACTAAGAGGCATGTGACATCGTTTTTATGAAAATGAAAGTTATATGACTTTGCCTTCGAAAAACGATCAGTGGGTCATATCTTAAACAAAATAATAGTCATTTGGTTTTTCAAACCTGCACCATTTTCTTAAAATGAATAAGTTCGTAAATGGTCACGTGACCAAACTGTGATTTTTAAAATTATCAATTACCCCTCTCTGAACACAAATGTTTGCACTTAAACTTCAAGGAAAATGTTGCAAAGATGATGTGATAACGTCTACAGCACATCTGAGCGTAACTATGAAACGTTGAACAAGATATAAGCAAGAAGTAGTTTTGGCCGCCATGTTGGAGGGCAAAGGCATGCCCTCCAACATGGCGGCCAATACAAATCATACTACTTTGCCGAAAAATCAAAGTGTCATAAAATATCTCCCTTAAATGCTTTTCCTCTCAAATTTCGGGTGTAAGATAATTTTTGTGTGCTCTAACAATTTTTGGCATCAGCAAGATTCCAACTCATTGTTTAAAGGAAGCATTGGTCACGTGACCTCTTAGTGCAAGTGGCCTATTGAGTGCCTTTAAACCCGTGTACAGCCCTTGTACACAGGCTATTACACTACTACATGAAAAATTTCTGCAATTTCATTGGCTTAGAGCAGTAGTATTTCAGCTTAATTTGAAATACCTACATTTGAAAATTACAAAACCTTGCGGGTAGAAGTATAAACAAATAATAGCATGATTTGTACGTGATATTTGGCATAAATACCACTCGTGATATTTCGACATTGTCCCAAATTACGCAGAACAATATTTTGAAATATCAAAATATACAAATTCAGTCAGAGGCCCCCAACGACGGTTTCTTCCAAAATGCGTTGAAAACACTTTTTAGGCTATCCAGAATACTCTTAGATCTCTACAAATGCTAATTTTAAGCGTCTCTAAAAAATTTTTATCTGTTCGCTCATCCTAGGGGAACTTGAGGCTTTTCGACATCACAAGGGCTTCAGTATTTTTTTCCCGAAACTTTTAGGTGCAATTTAGCGATTTACTAGCCTGTGAACAGGCTCTCTGTTTGGGGAAAAAAATAGCTTGGAAAGGGAAGGGAAGGGGGGGGAGGGGGGTTCGCTTTTCCCTCTCCCTAGTTCCCCGCTCGACCAAAGCGATTTACGAAAGTGAGAATCTTTCTGATTCCTCTTTCCATCACATTTTAGAATCCGAAAATTTTAGGTATCCTTTTTCGAAGAAAAATGGTGTAACCTGGGTAGTAAAGTATGAAAAATAAAACTTCAGAAAATCTTAGGGAATCTATTAGGTAACATGAATGGAGCGTTCCAACTTCGTCGCAGGGCACTTTTCCTGGCTTTGGAGGTGGGGCGCCCCACTCCAAAGCCAGGGAAAAGCGGCCTGGGGACGAGGTTGTGGAACGTTCATCTAGAAATTTTTAGCCGTTTGTACTGTCGCAATTTGTAATAATCATCGCACTATGTAATACCTGTCGCAATTTGTAATAAATCCATCGCACTTTGTAATACCTGTCGCAATTTGTAATAAACCGTGTCGCACTTTGTAATAAAAAAGCTGTCGCAATTTGTAATAACAGTCCATCGCACTTTGTAATAAACTAAGCTGTCGGAAATTGTTAAATGCTTTTTAATAACTTGTGTTATAACAACGTCGTGTTGCACATAAACATCGTTTGTGTCTAGTGCGTCTAGATGCTGTACTCTGACAATGCTGTGTCCAGAGGCACATCCCCGTATTGGTCATACAAGGAAGTACACCCGCTGGGTAACCATTGAATGCAAAACACCTAGTACAATAGCAAGGTTTAAGAATACAGCATTTCGTAAGTCACATAACTATTCAACATTAATTTCAAAAAAATGTTTAGGACTGTGAATAAAGTTAAATGTTTGAATGAGCGGAGATGTTACGTGCTAGCAGACGTCATCATCTTTCTTTATGAAGTACCACGCATATTTTGGCATTATATCAATGTTGACGAAGTTAGTCGAATCACTCTCAAAAAATTATTGCAAAGTGAGATGGAATTATTACAAATTGCGACAGCTTAGTTTATTACAAAGTGCGATGGACTGTTATTACAAATTGCGACGGCTTTTTTATTACAAATTGCGACACGGTCTATTACAAATTGCTACAGGTATTACAAAGTGCAATGGATTTATTACAAATTGCGACAGGTATTACAATATTAGCTTATACGAATAGATATTTTACAGAAAACAGTCGTTGGGTGCCCCTGTTCAGTTGCCACTTGCAACTTCCAGATAGAATTGAACGCCACTGAACCTAATCCACCAATTGATCGATTATTTAGCCTCGTTAAATATTTTCAAATGCAACTTGATATTCGTATGCTAATGTTTGGTGATTTCACCATTTTCATTTAGAATGAAAATCCTTGTTAATTTTTGTAATTAACCAGCTTTTTTGCTTTAATGATTATTGAACGTAACCTGTTCTTAAAGGAATGAATATATTGTTTTGAAAGACAAAAGAACACACACACGTACACACACAGATAATGCGAACCGCCAAGAACATTTTGAGAAAAAACAAAGAAAAAAACAACAGTTATTTGCCTTCGTAAAGTAAAATAGATATTTTACTTTATAGTTGGCTAAACACTCAGCCCAACTTTCAACTTACACGTATTTTCGTAGCATATGTAGAAAGCAAACTCATAAACAAAAACAACAACAAAACAAATCAAACGAACCTGCTTCACACCGGTAGAAAACTATGTGTGAATGCTGAAAATGGCACAATTTGCATTTTCCTTTTCCGAACGGGAACTTTTTTAGAAGGTCTGGGGTGGAGTGGTGCTTGAGTATCTGATCTAGCGAAAACTACTCGAGCGAGAGCGCCTTAGTCTGAGCCGGTCTATTTTTGTCATGTGAATGCAGTACAAAATTCATCCTAGAATAAAACTCATTGTGGAATGAAACTGTCTTTCCAGTAACATGGAAGTAGCCTTTTATAGTCCCAAGAGTAACGCCACAACCCAGAGCTCTTCTGCGCGAAGTCAGAAGAGTACTCAATGGGGTCGAGATTGGAGCTAGTTGACTGTAAATCAGTTACGCAGAAAGAAAAAATCATAAACAGCTGCCTTGGGTTTATACCATAACTGATTTACTTACAAACTGAAACACTCAGCTTATCAATTATTGATATTAAGATGAATGGAAATTTAAATCTTTAAAGGAAAAAAAGGTAATTTGCACATGCATTTTGCGCGCTTTTGGTAAGCTATAATGCATTAATAACTCCATCGTGCACTTAAAAACCGTCATTTTGTCCGCAATTTTCACTAAAAGGTTCTCCTTGATGTCATTACTGCAACAATTTCCAGTCTCTTGCAGTTTTGGTCTACAGCTCACCGTTAAAAATGGTAAAAAATGTTAAGGCATCAGATTGAACTAAAGAAACAACCTTGAAGGAACACATAATGAGATGATCAGATAATGCCTCAATTCCGTCGACCATCAACAATTGTTTTTGTGATTGGCTTCTTGGCAAGTGTGGTTTTTAAAGCAAAATGCGAGCTTCGCGTTGATGGCACTAAAGTCCTGAAACGACTGGGAGGACATACGAGCAATGGTGTCGCCTATGCCAATTTTGCAGCGCACACATTTCATTACCTGAACACTACTCCTTTGCTACCTGTCTCGGTAAATGAATTTGCAGAATGTGGGAAACTGTGTGTCGATCACTTTCTTTGTTTCTCCTTTAACGTTGCTGTGTTTCGTGACGCAGAGAGAAAGATTTTCTGCGAACTCTTACCAAGCGATAAATACAATGAATCAAGCAAGTTTTCTTCCAGTCAGATTTTTCATCACTTCAGTATCAAGGTTTGTTTCAAAATTTACTACATTCTATTTTCTCGTAAAAATAGTTATATATTATTGGTGATCAACCTTACGTTTTGATCCCAGTCTAAATATTTATGTAATTCTTGTTTTTGCTGATTTAAGTACTAAGATACTCTATTTTCTGTCAATTTTGAGCTCCGTATCTTTCGTTCTTCAGTTGTGACCGTCTAAGTATTTAATACCAACCATTTTTTTCTTTTTTTTCCTGGGTTGTTGTCTTCAAATGATAGGTTAGATTAGGCTAATCCTTATCGGTCCTTAAATTTGACAGGTAAAAGGTTAGGATCAGTATCAAGTTTGTTTTTCAAAAAGGGGAAAATGTCTTAACTATGGGGAAGAACACGCGTGAAACATTAAACTCCGAAAAAGGCCGGGGGGCACTTGGGTATTTTTTGGGTGGGTATGTGCCGCCCGGGACTCCAAAATGGCACCCCGTTCTGGAAAAAATTTCCCCTAAAATTGATACCCCGTTCTAGAAATGGGCCAATTTTTTATACCCCGTTCTAGAATTCGCCCCAAAACTGATACCCCGTTCTAGAAATGGGCCAATTTTTTATACTCCGTTCTAGGGTGCAACAAGAGTACAACGGTTTGCTTGTTAACGCATTGAACCGTATTTTTAAAAGCAATCTGTCCTTGAATACTTTCAAATGGCTGCCAACAAAAATGGAGCTTTCGTGCGTTCGAAATATTATACCCCGTTCTAGAAAACGCCTCTGAAATGGATACCCCGTTCTAAATCAGGAGCTTCAAAATCACGACCCCTTTGGGCGGCACATACCCGTATATGTAATGTATGGGAGTACCCCCCCCCCCCGGGGAAAAAGGTTCAAACAAAGTTTTGAATTCCACGATCATTTCAACCCAATAGAAAACTAAACCAAAAAAAATCCTTAGTTTCAGCTTAGCAAGTGACACAATGTTCAGACGTAATACATTAAGAGTTAAATTACCAAAGAAAACGGAATAAATAAACTGACCACTGCTGACATTCTATTAGATAAGACTTGTCAGAAACTGTATTGTCACAGTTAGCTTCAAAGCTTGAGAGATAGAAACACTTAACACTTCCGATCCCAATAAGCGCCTCCGTGAATTCATTGAATTAGGCATTATTTGAGTCTGCTGATTAATCGCGAAGAAATTGCTAGAAACGTAGTAGTGCTATAATATAGCGTTAGCCAAGGTGATTTTGAATGTACCAAACAAATTGCCTCAGCGATACAAAAATGTTTTAAAACTAACTAATAGAAAAAGAAATTTAACGAATTTACGCTATTGACCACTCCAGAAATACCATAACATACCATAATGCTCTTTGTTTGTCACTCCAAAATTTTACATAGGCATTGTCTTCAGTTTCTCTTGGGAGTTAAAATGTCCCAAGAGAAACTGAAAACAATGCTTATGCAAAATTGTGGGGTCACAAACAAAGAGCATCATGGTATGTTATTGTATTTTCTGGAGTGGTCAATTACTTTCTGCTTAAAAATGTGTGATAAAAGCCTAGGATTGATTGCCGTTGTTTGAACCAACCAACAAAGGGTTTCTCTTCCCAGTTTAACCTCAAACAAAAAGAGAATCCGAATTATAAAGTAATCAAGGAAGGTAAGAACGCAGTGTCAAGGAATCAACTTAACCAACCGTTTTTTGTTGTTAAAACAGAGTGGCTGTTCCAGCGATCCCTGTGTTAATGGTGCAACTTGTGTACCAAGTTATGAGAGCAATGAACATCATTGCGCGTGCGCTGCGGGATACAGTGGACAAAGTTGTGAAATAGGTATTTGGCTTTAAAACGTTTGTGAATCTTTTTGCACCATAGATGAACCCATTTACAAACATTTACACGTTCATGTAAAACTACCATTTTTTTACCACTCGTGACGCAATCACTTTCAGCAATAGGTCAAATATGATAATGAGGATAAGACAAGTTCTAAACAGGACCCATGGGAATTCCGCTCGATTTCCTACAGGTTATCGTTCTAAAAATCCGGGCAAAAATACTTCTACGATCTTAAAAGGCTAAGTATTGAAGAAGTGGTGCGCTTGGCCTTGTCAAAGGGATGTTTTTGTCCATCGTTTCATTGAGAAATACCAGTGCTTCAGCGCTTAAGAAGGAAGACGACAGTGTTTGTACTTTCGTTTGTCAGGGTTGATTATCAATAGATTCAATTCCCGCTTAGGGCCATCTTCTTACATGTACACAGCGAACAATTGTCCCCCGGGTAATGTGCATAAAAGATCAGGACTTGAAACTCTTAATTTATTTAAACTATATTGAAAGCAAAACCCTATTTAGCAGATTGAGGGCAAAAAAAAAAAAACAAAAGAAAACACAATCATCGACACGCTTTTTACTTCTGCATATACATTAATTAAGTATTACTGATGTTCTTTGGTTTACGTATTTACTTTCAAGATATCGATGAGTGTTCCAGTAATCCCTGTTTGAATGGCGGATCTTGTGTTGATCATGTGAATGGATACACTTGTAGCTGCCTGGTTGGCTACACTGGAGTCCATTGTCAGACAGGTACACGAATAATTTGAAAGCTGGAAATTACATATTTCTACCTTACACAGGTTCCCTCATCGTACCGGGCTGTCGCAACGTTTACATTTACTACCATACATAATATTGTGTACTATATTTCAATCAACCAGGCTTCAATCAGAAGAGAGAACACTACAGTTTTTATGATAATGAAAATCAATCTTCGTCGACATCGTCATCGCCACCATCATAATCGTTATCTTTATCACCGCCACCAAATTCACCACCACCATATAACTAGGAAGAATTAGCCAAGAGAACGCAAAGACAGTGAAGGAGGCAGGCGCAGATCTAAAAACCGACCGACCTCGTTCCAAGGGCTTTTCCTTAAAAAAATGGGTGGGCCATTTTTTAAGGCAAAACCCGTGGGGACGAGGTTGAAAACCGACTTGACCATTAGCAAAACGGCACGTTGCACACCATAGGTGGCGTTTAGACCTTTGCGTAACCTTGCGCGTCCCCAGTTGACGTTGCGTTGTCTTTGTAAAATCTGCCTGTCATTATCAGCAGGACCAGCATTGTTTACCGCGTCCTATCTCCATGATTCTCGTCCAGTCACACCACCCTGTCGAGTACATTGTTAGTGCTGACTACCAATTTCCTACCATAGTGTAGCTAATGCCACTATACCGTGCCTCTCTCAGGACAGCTTTCATCCAGCATCGCCACAGCCCCAGCCCTTACACTTTCATGTCTGTCCGTCAATCGTAACTTCCATGCTAATACTATCTGGATCTCCAAACCTACTGCCTGGGTCCAGAATGAGCTTTAAGTGTCCGAACCTGGTTTCCTTCTCTTGGATGGTTGCCAGGGCTACGAAGTGTTCCATCCGCCCGAGTTTGGGATCAACGACTCCGAAATCCTATAAATGCTGGACTTTTGGGCTTGAATCCCCATCCCGGAGTAAAAACTTTAACGCAAAGGTTTTAGAGCTCCCAAAAGCATCCCTATTAATTAAAATAGTTGCCCCGCCACATGCATGCTTCTGGTATGAGCTTAAATAGGTGATTCGGGACACTTTCAACAAAAAAGATATAACCCGAAAGACGGATGCTCATCGTCAAACCTCGCCTGTGCTCCTTAAGTAGTAAAGTGGGGACCTCTTAGATAGGACTTGAAACTCTTAATTTATTCAAAGTATGTTGAAAGCCAACCCTGATTTAGCAGATTGAGGACGAGAAAAAAAAAGAATCATCGGCACGATTTTTACTTGTGTATATGCATTAATTAAATATTACTGATGTTTTTTGGTTTATTTATTTGCTTTGAAGATATCGATGAGTGTTCCAGTAATCCCTGTTTGAATGGCGGATCTTGTATTGATCACATGAATGGATACACTTGTAGCTGCCTGGTTGGCTACACTGGAGTCCATTGTCAGACAGGTACACGAATGATTTGAAAGCTGGGAATTACATATTTCTACCTTACACAGGCTACCTCATCTTACCGACCTGGTGCAACGTTTACATTTACTACCATACATAATATTATGTACTATCTTTCAATCAACCGGTCTTCGATCAGAAGAAAGAACACTGTAGTTGTTATGATTTGAAAATCATCTTCTTCATCATTAATGCTATCATCATCATCATAATCATCATCATCATCATCATCATCATCATCATCATCATCATCATCATCATCATCATCATCATCATCGTCATCATCATTGTTATCATCATCATCGTTATCTTTATCGTCACTACCGCTATCAAAGCGACCACCACCATTATTGGGCAGAATTAGCGAAGAAAACGCAAAGACAGTGAACAAGGCAGGCGCAGATCTAAAAACCGACTTGACCAATAGCAAAGTATCACGTTGAACACCGTAGGTTGTGTTTAGATCTTTCCACAACCTTGCGCGTCCCCAGTTGACGTTTCGTTTTCTTTGCTAAATCTGCCTGTCATCATCAGCAGGATCAGCATTGTTATCCGCGTCCTCTCTCCATGATTCTCCTCCAGTCACACCACCCTGTCGAGTACAATGTTAGTACTGACTACCAATTTTCTACCATAGTGCAGGAAGTGGCACTATACCGTGCCTTTCTCAGGGCAGCTTTCATCCAGCACCGCTTCAGCCCCAGCCCTTACACTTTCATGTCTGTCCGTCAATCGTAACTTCCATGCTAATATTATCTGGATCTCTAAACCTACTGCCTGGGTCCAGAATGCGCTTTCAGTGTCCGAACCTGAAGGTTTCATGGGTTTCTTTTCATGGTTTCCTTCTCTTGGATAGTTGCCAGGGCTACGAAGTGTTCCATCCACCCGAGTTTGGGATCAACGACTTCGAAATTCTATAGATGCTGGACTTTTGGGCTTGAATCCCCATCCCGGAGCAAAACCTTTAACGCAAAGGTTTTAGGGCCCCCAGAAGCATCCCTATTACTTAAAATAGTTGCCCCGCCACATGCATGCTTCTGGTAGGGGCTTAAGTAGGTGATTCGGGACACTTTCAACAAAAAGATATAACCCGAAAGACGGATGCTCATCGTCAAACCTCACATCTGCTCCTTAAGTAGTATAGTGGGGACCTCTTAGATAGGACTTGAAACTCTTAATTTATTTAAAGTATGTTGAAAACAAACCCCTATTTAGCAGATTGAGGACGAAAAAAAAGAATCATCGGCACGCTTTTTACTTGTGTATATACATTAATTAAGTATTACTGATGTTTTCTGGTTTATTTATTTGCTTTCAAGATATCGATGAGTGTTCCAGTAATCCCTGTTTGAATGGCGGATCTTGTATTGATCACGTGAATGGATACACTTGTAGCTGCCTGGTTGGCTACACTGGAGTCCATTGTCAGACAGGTACACGAATGATTTGAAAGCTGGGAATTACATATTTCTACCTCACACAGGTTACCTCATCTTACCGACCTGGCGCAACGTTTACATTTACTACCATGCATAATATTATGTACTATCTTTCAATCAACAAGTCTTCGATCAGAAGAAAGAACACTGTAGTTATTATGATTTGAAAATCATCTTCTTTATCATCAAAGCTATCATCATCATAATCATCATCATCATCATCATCATCATCATTGTCATCATCATCATCGTTATCTTTATCGTCACTACCGCTATCAAAGCGACCACCACCATTTTTGGGCAGAATTAGCGAAGAAAACGCAAAGACAGTGAACAAGGCAGGCGCACATCAAAAAACCGATTTGACCAATAGCAAAGCGTCACGTTGAACACCGTAGGTCGCGTTTAGATCTTTGCGCAACCTTGCGCGTCCCCAGTTGACGTTTCGTTTTCTTTGCTAAATCTGCCTGTCATCATCAGCAGGATCAGCATTGTTATCCGCGTCCTATCTCCATGATTCTCGTCCATTCACATCACCCTGTCAAGTACAATGTTAGAACTGACTACCACTTTCCTACCATAGTGCAGGAAGTGGCACTATACCGTACCTCTCTCAAGGCAGCTTTCATCCAGCATCTCCACAGCCCCAGCCCTTACACTTTCATGTCTGTCCGTCAATCGTAACTTTCATGCTAATATTATCTGGATCTCTAAACCTACTGCCTGGGTCCAGAATGCTCTTTCAGTGTCCGAACCTGAACGTTTCATGGGTTTCTGTTCACGGTTTCCTTCTCTTGGATAGTTGCCAGGGATAGTGTTCCATCCACCTCGGTTTGGGATCAACGACTTCGAAATCCTATAAATGCTGGATTTTTGGGCTTGAATCCCCATCCCTGAGTAAAACCTTTAACGCAAAGGTTTTAGAGCTCCCAAAAGCATCCCTATTATTTAAAATAGTTGCCCCGCCACATGCATGCTTCTGGTAGGGGCTTAAGTAGGTGATTCGAGACACTTTCAATACGAAAGGTATAACCCCAAAAGATGGATGCTCAACTTCACACCTATCCTCTGCTCCTTGAGTAGTATAGTGGGGACCTCTTAGACCCCTTTTTTTGATTTGATAATCCGTTAACGCCGATGGCTTGAAGAGTAGGCATTTTATTAAGACTACGTCGCCAGGTTTCCTTTTTTATTTTGTTCTAAATGTAACTCACCTGAGAGGTTTTTAAAGTTATTTTTTGATAGCTGAATCGCTCCGTTTTTGATTAGTTGACCAAAATTTATAAAAGCTTTCATTGGCTGATTCATTTTGACCAAGGAATAAGCTTCAAATTGCAAGTCACATTTTTGCAAATGATAAATCTGTTTCTATATTTTCCTTTCTTTTGTATTGAGCTCCATGTTTTACACTGAAAGCAAAGTAAGACATTTTTTATTTTTTTAGATATCAATGAATGCTACAGCAATCCATGCTTGAATGGTGGGACGTGCGTCGATGGTGTGAACTCGTTTCACTGCAATTGCATTGCATACTTTATTGGAGCACGCTGCGAGACGATAGGTTGGTTTGCTTTTCGTAACGTTGCTATAAAAACATCTGTTTTAGAGAAGAGAAGTGATGACGTCACAAAAACTAAATTTGTGACATTAAGGGTTTAGTTGGCATATCCAAAAAGAATAAGATGAGAAATGTTCACTTGTCAAAAATCAGCCTGTTCGCTTATTGATGCAAATTTGTGAGGAGATACAGGCAACGTTATGCTCCGATGACACCATATAAATCCCTCTAATATAGGACTGGATCGTTAACGATAAGATCCAATCCAGTTTTAGAAGGATTTGTATGCAGTCATCATAGCATAGCAGTACTTATATCTAACAACCCATCTGCACTAACAGGCTGATTTTTGGCAAGGGGGGCTTTTTTCATCTTGTTCTTTCTGAATATGCTAACCAATCCCCAAATTTCACAAATTTAAAATTTTTCTGACGTCACACCTCCCTTCTCTATTTACTGGCCATTCTTGAGAACAAAACTGGGTTGATGTTGTGTTCAACCGCATCATGGGGGTACGAGTTTTTTACGTGTTTCGTGTGCAATAATGATGAAAGAAGCGATATAGCGTCATCAAAGCAGTCCCAGAGTGCAGTTTGACACACCAACCTAGTCTCCTGCAGAAGAGCAAATACTCTCCCCATGCTCTCGGTAAGGTCCGTCGTGCGGAAGAAATCAATGAAAAATGGCTTAACTTGGGATCAAAATTACTAGTTATCATATGACGGTCACCCATGTTCAAGATAATAGATGATCACACTAAGAAACCTTTAGAGCCTTAATCTAAACTTTTTGAACGAGAAAAGAAAGAAGAAGAAATGAGGAAAGGCCGAGCAGCCGAAAAGGGTGAAACTGGTTTAATTCTCTACAGATCCTAAAATCGTTACCAAGTAACATCTTCCCTTTGAGGCCGCAAAGAAGTCAATGGCCCAAAAATGGTAGAAGCGCTAGCGGAGCTTGAATGAAAGCAGAGCCAAGAAAAAGAAGTGCAGATACGTTTTGTAACAAAATTAAGCAGCTGCACTGGACGAGGATGGGGAGTTGTTATACTGATGTTATTCGATTCAGCCCGGCACTGAGGCTTATGATTTTATTTCAGTGCTTGAACTTGAGTGGAGGCTTACAAGAGACAGGAGGTTAAATGTCTACAAAGTTTACCAAATTTTACACAAATGGGTGTGAAAAGCTTATGGGAGTGAAAAACTGAATTACAAACTGTTGCGTCATTTTTGGAGGACCATGCAGATACATGAAGTATAAGCAAAAGCTCAACCTCGTGTCCCTCTTTTCCTCGTGTCCTAGTCTCCTAGAGCGGGGAAGAAAGAGGAAGGGGGTGGGGGGCAAACTAGAGACCTTACGAAAGAGTTTGTGATTCAGGATTTAGTCAGTTATTTCACCTACAAATTAAACATTTTCTCATCCCCATTCACAGTCTCAATAGGGGTTGTGATAGCTTGCGAACTCAGACTTATTTCCAATCGTCACTTCTCTTCATCCTAAAAGTAAACTGGATAGGGAGAAACGCCCCACAACTGAAAATACGTCTGGGTTCGCAGGCTAGGGGTGGTACTTATATTTGGCGCTTCATACTGGAAGCTTATTACAGACTGGGGCTGAATAGAGGAAACACGGTGCTTTTTTTATTCTCTAGATGTTCCAGAACCAATCGCCCTTTATCCGTTAAACGCTGCGTACACTTCAAGCGACATGATGGGAAATCAGCCAGCTGGAACTTCCTCAAATGTACAGTACGCAGGAGGACCGGATGGGACCTCTCAAGGCTCGTACCAGTTCTGGGGTAATTCTAACAGCTACATTGAACTACCAAATAATGGAGGCTTAGATACCCAGTATTCCATGACAATGTGTATGTGGGTATTTCCAGAAGGTCAAGATGGTCCTCTATTTAACTACAGACCGTCGGGAAGTTGGGCAACGCACTTGTTTTTAGCTGGAGATGGAAAGTTTTTTTGTCGTTTTACCAAGAGAAATGATGTTATGATGGACGCTTTGGTTAGCCCGTCAGCTCTTAACACGGGCCAATGGTCGTATGTGGGCTGCTCGTATGATTATAGCACTGGTTTAGCTAGGGCCTGGGTTGGGGAGAGAGAGGTTAGCACGAGGTATCTTGAAATTACGTCTTTGAGTACCGCTTATAACGTAAGACTCGGAGTGAAAATCGACGACAGCCGATACTTTAGGGGACGAATCGCAAGGGTGCAAGTTTACAACATTGCTCTTAATTTGGGTCAATTTACAGCTGTGAAGTTCAGAGGGGCAAGCTAACGATAGTGGGAGAGACACAAGGGTCAGTTTAAGTTCTTTCACTTACGAATACTTAACGATTTCGTAAGCCAAAAACTGAGTTTATAGCTTTTGTCAGTTGACGTAACATGGTAATCAGATCCTAAAAGAAGGTTTATGTATTTGGTTTTCCCTTTGGGCTTTTATTGGTCAATAAGATGTTACCTTCAGTTTTGGAGGCCACTTCTTGACATGTATTATTTTAATTTTGTTTTAACATTTAACACATCATTACTTTGTGCCTATTAAGAAGAGTGTACTCGACCTCGGATCAAAAAATGCCGCAAAAGTTGTCTTTTTTACCTCCGGCAACAGCATAAACTACAAAACTGGAACTGCAAAGCGCCATTGTTAGAAGTGGACGCCTCTGATCCCCCGTCATTTGCATGGCCACAAGGGTAGTTGTAAAAATGGCCCACGAGCTCTCCATTCCGTGTAGCCTTGGCGCTTTTCCCGGCGATAGAAACTTCTTCGTCACAGTGGCGATAAGAAGACCGGCCACAGATCTGATTGCAAGACAACTTGTCACGTGTGTTTCCACGGGTCCACTTCCTTCTGTGGGAGTGCTTCCTCTGCAGGCAGCAGCAGCTGCTAAGTGATAAGACTGCCAAGCCAGGTCGTATGCACTGTACTTGTCATAACCTTCCACCAGAAGTTTCTGAGGAAGAAGGCCATTCTTGTTGAGCATGGCGAAACTAAAAGGTTTTCCGGCCTTAGCCAGCTCCGCTTTCAAGGCAGTGACCTAAAATACAAAGGAAGAACACACTTTTGAACGTCATTTGAGTCGAGTGAATTGTTTAGGGAGCCTCTGTTTGGGAGGCTGGACCATGTGCATCAGATGTCCGTACATGAATATTTATTTTTATTTTATTACATTCCTCCATTCTTGGCAGGGTCACCGCAGCAGCATAACGACGCCAATCACTGCGGGCCCGTAACAGTCCCTCCCCCTAATCTTTACGAACAGTGGACGGGTTCTTTGACGTCCTACGGGTTTTTATATGTCCAAGGGTTGTGAGATGGGGCCTATGGTTTATCATCATTATCCGAGAAGACTAGAAAGACTAACGGTTTCTAGATGTCTTTACAAAGGCAGCACTTTCTCCTCAGTTATCTTAAGACCCTGAGTGTTGGTCTGGCCGGGGTGTGAACCAGCGGCTTCCCGCTCGGCAGACCGGTGCTTATCCAACTGACCTATCCTCCATTATACACTCTGTTTCGACCTCAAATTTGGTAAGTACACATGAAATACTTCCCCTAAATTTTGCCAAAGTTGGTATTGTTCTCAAATACACCATCTTGGGAATATGGAACATTAAAAACAATAGTTAACAATAGAATTTCGGGTCGAAGCAGAGTGTATTGTCGGAACTGGAAAATAGAGAATGCTTTTAAATCCTTCCTTCCTTCCTTCCTTCTGCATCGGTCATCATTTCTGTGATACTCAAACTTATATTAATGGCCTTGTTTTTTATAGCCGCCTCTCTCCTTTTCTAGCTTTCCCAGCCTTCTTGCTTGATCTGCCGGTAAAAATACGATATATTAGTGCACAAGAGGCACTTATCAAACCAGCAGATACTGGCGTTCTTCTCGCGCTGTGAATGGCCATTGAAAAGGGGAAGATCGGGATAGGCCATTTGCACGATGGCGTCATTTTACTACTACTACCAGAATCCTCCAGGGTACTGCTTTTTTGTGCAAATCAAGGCTTTTGTTATTTAAACCTCACTGGGACTACCAAATGTAAATATGAAAGGAAAAACGAAATGAATTCTGGTCTTAATAGTAAAAAGACGTTATCGTGCAAATGGCCCATTCATCTTCGCTCTGGTAAATAATTCTCAAATCAACATTAAAGTTGTAAAAACTGTAATAGTATAAGAATTTTTTATTTCCTTTCTATCTTGTATTTAATTTTGTATTTTTATTTTCCATGCAGCACTTAATTCCTTCTCCAAAATTTGTCAAGCACACTTGGTACTTCAAAAAGACCCTTCCACGGTTTTTAAACTTTTGACATGGACCAGTCAGGGGAAATGCATCAACACCACTGCAAAGAGCGTCTCAAAATAAGTGATACGTCTGAAGCGAAAATTTTACCGACGTTTGTATGGTGGGGGCAAGTTTGTGCCCCCACCCCACCATACAAACGCCTGTAAAATTCGCGATTTTAGGAGCTAGATCTTCTTTAGTAATCATCAATTCAATTTCAAACTCGGTAATTCACTAACTTGAACAAGGTCTTTCCACTGGTGTCGACGGATTTTCCCAAACTTATCCATGTCAAAATATGGAAAAATAAATAAATAAAAATTTAACCGTTGAAAGGTCTACCCAAATCGTCCTGTAAACTCCTACTGCAGGTGGTTTAAAGACAAATCCGCTATTTACTTTATGGCATCATCACTGTACAACTCCTTATGTCAGAGCTCTGAAATTGATTTCCGCATTCCCGTCATATACCACAAATCTGCTCGAGACGTTCTTTCAACCTATTTACAGCTGTTTCGAGAAAGGTTGTCGGAAAAAGTGCACGCGACAATCTCGAAAGGTATTGTGGGTGGTTTTTAGTTCACTGTTTTTCAAAGAAATTTCAAAGAATGTCACGAGAGGCTATGCACGTATGTTTGCGAGTGCTAAAGGAAAGTAATAAAAGTAGGTTCGACAGCTACAGTGTCAAGAACAAGTGTATTGGTCATATCCCATATTACCTTTCGGGATTGTCGGGTGCACAGTTTTTGCGACAACCTTTCTCGAAATAGCTGTATACTTAGAACTTTACATATTGCTACATCACCAGCATTATTAGTGTTTATTCCAGAAAGGTAAGCAAAGGCATCAGTCTAAAGGAAAAATCAAATATATAAGGTGTCATAAGTAAAATTCATTGAAACCCCAACTGACCGGACTGAATATTAAGCGGACACCTTGTATTAAGCGGAAAGGATCAAAGTCGTGCCATGTTTCTGTATTGAGGAAACTGTATTGAGCTGGTACATAAAATTAACAAGTAATGAATAAGGCTGAGTATCTTATGAAGAATTATCATGATGGAGATCGAGGAGGGTGTTATCCGTCGAGGCCGTTCACCGCGCAACACGTAGTCATCGCGTTTCCTGAGCGCACGCCAGATTGCCCAGAGCCGAAAGCTTTCCAAAATTATTCCCACAAAAAAACCATCACAATATCCATGACGAGGCAAAAAGATGAGAGACTTGTGTGGTCTTAAAGAATTGACGCTTCAATGGCGAATCGGTAAGCCGTTTATTGGTACAGGAGAGTTTTGTGAGTCGAGACTGCACGCCGTCACCTGCCTTGCCTCGCTTTATGTAGGAAAACAACACCGAATAAACAAAACCGTATAAAACGGCCATGAATTGAGCCCAGGTTACACAGAAAAAGCAACAACAGGCCCAAGTTGACGTAATTACCATTTATTTCTATATTTATGCTTATATTTCTACGTTTTAACAGCCATATTGAATTTCTTATACAAATTCTTCAAATCGTTCGTAATAAGCAAAACAGTATCGAAACTCGCGGTGATTTGCGGATCGAGCTTGGGCCGGCTGTGATTTGACCGAGAGAATTTTAAAAAAGTTCATTTGCTACAATTAAGAGCCAAGTTGACCATAGATGGCTCCTCTAACAAAGGGCATCCGCAGCCAGCTCCATTTTTTACTATTGCCAATTTTTATGGCTTCATGCATCAGTATTTCGACGCTCCACCTGTCATCATCACCGTTAAGGATAAAGCTCGAAACATGGCTAAAAATTACAAGAGTTGTGTTATTTCTTCGAAAAGCAATTGAGATCTGCGATCTCAGTTACAGTTACTATAGAGTACTAAAGTGATGACGTCATAAAAATGAAATTTCTTGGGGTCGACCCAAAAAAACTTAGAAGAGTTTGTATGGAGTTTTCTGAGCATAACTGGGCTACGATCTCAGAGACAATTTGCCCCGAAATGCTCATTTTTGGCAAGTAGGCCTCTTGGACATTGTTCTTTCAGAATATCCTGACAAATCCCATAATTTCAGAAATTTCATTTTTATGACGTCACACTTAAGTACTCTATTACGATTCAAATTTGCAAAGAAAGCCCTTTTTCAACTTCAGCCTTTTCTTTCCTCCCGCATTATTAAGGAAAAATCCTGTGGTAGTTACAAAGGCTAAAAATTAGATGACAGGGGAAGTAGATCTTCCTTTGACACACTTTAAAGCAGCGCCGTAGCTAGTATGAGGCCAACCGAGGCACTCGCCTCGGTAAAATTTTGACGAATTTCGCCGATCATTTTTATTTTACATAAGCGATCATCGGAGCCTCTCAGAAAAGATTTCGTGGCCAAAATATAACAGTTAAAAAATATATATAGATAACCAAAATTTTCGCCGTATTACATGAAAACGCAGAAAACACTGCAAATCGCATTTCAGACTTTCAAAATTTCTCGTTGCCCCGAACGCCCCTTCCCGCCTATTTTTGGTCTTATAAGAAAAGATAAAAAGATAAACCGAAAATATCATTACTCCTTTAAGTCAAATTAACCTCCAGCGGATTTATATGACCTTCAGGCAGCTGTTGAAGTTTTAATGCAAGAATTTTTATTTAATTTATTTCTTAGTTTTCCATTAAGATTAAGCAAGTTTTTATATCTTGACAAGGTTAAATAACACCGTTGAGATGGATCTTTGACCGGGCTGACGTCTACCGGGTGACAGAAGGTCTTCGTCGCACGCACCGGGCGATTTTACAGTTACAGCGATAGGGTACACAGGAGAAGCCTGGTTTACAGGTTTTGGCTGCGCATGCTCTACGATCACGGCAAGGTGGCAAAAATTTGTTACGCCATTTGCATCTTCGTCCTGTTGAGTTAAGCAATAAATCATCAATCCCTTAATTAGAATTACACTTTTATGTTTAAATAAAAGGAATTTTCACCTGGAACTCTTCGCCGCACGCACCGGGCGATGTTACAGTCGCAAGAACATGGCTCGCAAGAGAGGCCTAGTCCACAACTTATGGCTGCACAAGCTCGAAAAGTGGGCAACGTGGCAGATTGTTCTTGCGGCATTGACATTCTGGGCATGTCGAGTCAAACAAAAGGTACTTGACATATTCCATTTCCATTACATTTTACATTTTAAAGTAAAAAGACTGTATATGTCTTCCACCTGGCGTTGGAAGGGGAGCTGTTGACATGAGTCGCGGTAAAAGCCTGGCTCACAGGGTATGTCTACACATGCTCCAAAATCAGGGTAAGGTGGCAAGGATACGTTGGGACAGTTGTATTTTGCATCCTTTAAGTAAATAATAATAATAAAAAAATTTCCATGACTCGCCTGGAGTTGGAAGGGGTGCTGTTGGCACGCATCGGGCAATTTCACAGTTACAAGGACATGGTTCGCAGGAGAAGCCTGGTCCACACGTTATGGCTGCGCATGCTCCAAAGTGAGGACAAGGTGGCAGATTTTCGTTGCTGCATTGACATCCTTGGCCTGTTGAGTCAAACAGAATAGGACATTTAAACCTTCCATTTTAATTGCATTATATATCTAAAATCAAAAGGACTAATAGGTAAATGGCTTTTACCTGATGTTGGAAGCGGTGCTGTTGGAACGCAACGGGCGATGTTACAGTTACAAGGACATGGCTCACAGGAGGAGCCTGGTCCACAAGTTATGGCTGCGCATGCTCTAAAGTCAGGGCAAGGTGGCAGAGTTTCGTTGCGGCATTGGCATTCTGGGCCTGTTGAGTCAAGCAATAAAATATAAGTCCTTGGGACATTCGATTTCCATGGCATTTTACATTTTAAAGTTAAAGACTATATACATGGCTTTCACCTGGAGTTGGAAGCGGTGCTGTTGGCACGCACCGGGCGATATTACAGTTACAAGGACATGGCTCACAGGAGAAGCCTGGTCCACAGGTTATCGCTGCGCATGCTCCAAAGTCAGGACAAGATGGCAGAGTTTTGTTGCTGCATTGGCATCCTTGGCCTGTAGAGTCAAACAGAATAGGACATTTGTAAAACCTTCCATTTTAACTGCATTTTATATTTAAAATCAAAAGGACTGATAAGTAAATAGCTTTTACCTGGACTTGGAAGCGTTGTTGTTGGAACGCACCGGGCGATACTACAATTACAAGGACATGGCTCACAGGAGAAGCCTGGTCCACATGTTATGGCGGCGCATGCTCCAAAATCAGGGCAAGGTGGCAGAGTTTCGTTGCGGCATTGGCATTCTGGGCCTGTTGAGTCAAACAATAGGTCCTTGAGACACTTTATTTCTATTGCATTTTACATTTTAAAGTTAAAGACTATAGTTACATGATGGCTTTCACCTGGAGTTGGAAGGGGTGCTGTCAGGACGCACTGGGCGATATTACAGTTACAAGGACATGGCTCACAGGAGAAGCCTGGCCCACAGGTTATGGCGCGCATGCTCCAAAATCAGGGCAAGGTGGTAAATTGTGTGAAAGATTTGTTAGAGCAATTGCAACCTGAGCCTGTTGAATAACGTGATAAAGCATTTTAACTTTTTAAAAGGAAAAGAACACTATATTACTTTTATCGGGAAGGAGTTGGCACGCACCGGGCAATTTCACAATTACAAGGACATGGCTGGCAGCCGAATCCTGGTCCACAGGTTATGGCTGCGAATGCTCCATAGTCAGGCCAAGATTGCAGAATTTTGTTTCTACATTGACATCCTGGGCTTGTTGAGTCGAACTGAATAGATTATTTATGTAAATAAACCTTCCATTTTAATAGACCATTTTCGAGTTGCCCCAGGCCTCTATTTCAAAACGAGGCTAAGTGCTAGGCCATTGATATGAAAATGGTTTTTCTTATTCTGATGCAAATGAAGCTCAATATCATAAGAAAGGTTTTACACTTAGCCTCGTTTTGAAAGTGAGGGTTTTTGGAACCCGGAAATGGCCTATTGCATTTCATATTTAAGATCAAAAAGACTAAGTAAATGACTTTTATCTGGAGTTGGAAGCGGTGCTGTTGGAACGCACCCGGCGTTGTTACAGTCACAAGGACATGGTTCACAGGAGAAGCGTGGTCCACAGGTTATGGCTGCGCATGCTCCAAAGTCAGGACAAGGTGGCAAAGTTAAGGGGGCAACGATTTGTTGGGACAGTTGCAACGTAAGCTTGTTGAATAAAGTGACCAGACGTTTTAACCTCCTTTTTCTTTTGAATGTCGGCGATTTTACAGGTATAAGGGCGTGGTTCGCAGGAGAAGCATGCTCCATTGTGATTCAAGGATTGAGGTTATTCATTTCATTATGATTCTGAACTAAAATGTGTAATGACGACTATAATTTGACTCTTACCTTGAATAAGACGCTGTGGAGAGAAAATCACACAAAGGTTAATTGATTTGGTAGAAGAAGCTGTTATATTTTTTAAACGGGACACAAATCTTGGTTGCTTGGCGGAAAGGGATTGAACCTACACTAATCGGCGAATTATCTCACTGTTGTGGTTACCCTTCAATGTTCAATAAATGAATAAACAAAAGGAATCCAAAGTGCAACGTCAGTAGTCCTACCTATAGCAGAAATACCGCCCAAAGTTATAAACACAAGCCGGGAACCATTTTCTTTATGCGTTTTTGCGAGAGAAACAACCTGATTTTTACTCTTTCATGCCATCATTGAAAATGCCAAAAAATTGACCAACTATATAAAATTCCAATTTTGTTTTGTAAAATCATCATTAGCTTGCTGGAGAAGAAATGATACCGCACCTTCCTCAAGCACCCTTTTCAAATGATGAGTGACAGTGAAAACACAGGAACATGAAAGTTACAGGTATTACAGAAAGTAAAAAAAAAAAAAGAAAACGCATCGTGCTTCAACTGTAAATAAGTTAAAAGAAAGGAATGTGAAACCAGGAGCCCTTAACTGATGAGAACCGATGAAAACGTCGTGGCACGAGTACATGGAAACGCCCCATATAAGGTAATCTTTATTTCGGAAAATCTGGAAAGCTTTGCTTCTGAAAACTGGAATCCTGGGCTTTGAAATCCAGAATTCAGCTTAAGGAATCCGGAATCCACCTTCCCATGACAAGTAATCCGGAATCCGGAGAATACCTGGAATCTGGAATCTATACCATGGGATCCAGAATCCAACACTGTCTTGGATTTCTTTACATGGAGCTTATGGAAGTTACTCTCTCCGGGTTATGGGCTCCTGGTGACATGATCATGATCTCTTACCGGTGATCCTTCTGCGTATGCAAGGTATGCAATCAGGATAACTACAAGGATGTTTGACATGTCCGAACTGAGATGCAAATGTAAAAATTATCTTAATGAAACTAGTAATAACCGAAAGTTAGGGATTGCGGGCGACAACGATCGAAGGTAGAAATGCGTTTGCTTTATCCCTGTGCTTTGAGTAACTTTCACGTGATATATGGTCAAAACACACGTGATCAGAATACGAGTGACAAAAGGTCCAAATACTCGTGATCAGCTTGCGTTCTCTGCATTCCAGTGGAAGCCCAAACGCTGCTGGTTACATACGTGCCGTGCATGCGTAATAGCAACCTGGAGATTAGGATTGGGGGCTTCTCTGGTCACCCGCAAAAAATGATGGCCTTCAAGGGTATACCGGGAAATCAGCGACATAGCGTCGAAAAAGAAAGGCCTGTATTGCGTAATATCAGTAAAACTGCACCTTTAATATATAGGATAATACAAAATCGACAGCATGAGTCTTCTTTCACTTCGCGCAGTTTTTTCAGGGTGTTGTTCTCAATCAATCATTACTAGAGAGCTAGTGACTCAGCAAAAACCCTTAAAAATCAAACAGTCGAGGCGTTGAGATAAAGTTTGCTTAAGGAGTCACCGAAATGTTAAATTTACAAACATTCATTTTAGTTGTCGGCCAATATTTTTGTGACGATTGTGATCGATATAAAAAAATTTTTATGTTCCGTTGATATTAAACTTTGGCTTATAACCCGCCGATTCCGATAGGAAAAAAAATTCAATTCGCCTCAAGTTATCCTTTACTTACCCTTACCCTTCGCCTGAAATTATCCCTTACTTATTTTGATCATTTATAAAGAGAACGCGAGGGTAAAAACTCGCTATTAAAATTACAGAACTGGTCTTCCTGAATTATAAGTTACGGAACGACTAGCCTGACATCATGTAACCAACTCAACCATAACTTGATTATTAGCCAACCCTTGGTCTGAAAAATGCCTTTTTGAATTAAATAAAGCTTTATACTAAATTAATTTAAAACAAGCCAACACATCATTTCACTACTACTAGCCCCAGCAACGTATTTTTACTTTGGTACAAAGACAGATTGTTTTAATTTTATTCAGGTTAGTTTTCTAGAACTATTAAAATTTTTATCACTCGCATGTTTAAATTAACTTGACAAAACAATTTTACTTTGTAGTATACTCACCGAGCAACTAATGCCTCAGGTACTCCGTTAAATGCTGACTCCAACGAAACAAAGATAACTCAAATTTAAAGCCACCGGTGTCCTGTAATATTGAATTTGTATTAAGTTGTTATAGTAATATTTTTCTGACGTAGGTGATCACCTTGGAAAAAAAAGAATCATTTCCTTGTTCAAAGAATACGAGCTTTGATTAACCAACTACAATTACACACCTTGGTTGTCTCATTAATGTCAAGATCAATCCAACTTTATCTGTATCCGATTTCAAGCGGAAAATATCGTGTGACATGATTGCGCGTTTCTGCTTGGAAAATGAGACTGACCACAATTGCATGCCATTTCCTTCCTCTCTTTACCAGCTATTAATTAAAAATTCGTAGCTTTTTAAGCTTCATTTTTAAGCTAATATTGGTCTTCTTTTAAAAAGTATGCAGACCGTTGCTAGGCCGTTTTTTCTAATAATCTTTTTTAAAAACCGCGAAACAGGCATCCTGTGATTTATATAGACTCTATATAGATAACCTTTTGCCAAACACTGCGATTTTTGTACTGTAGTGTGCATGTGCAGTCTCAGGTGCAAAGGCCCTTGATAACATTTGTGTGAAACATTGAATAAACCTTTTGTATAAATATTTCTTGCCTTTCTAGCACCTGTCTGCTCAAATGTTTCAACCTGTTTTATCAACCATAACGGATCCATCTCCGTGACAATAGACAGCCTGTTTCTCTCTCCCTCCCTCCCCTTCACTCCCCCTCCCCCTCTCTTTTTGGCACAAATTTCCTTTGTGCTCGCAAAGGCATTGCGCGTAACTTTTGCTCGAACAGTCACAACTTTGTTTTCAGGGGTACTCTCTTTCCTTTCATTGACTTGCTGTCAATGGTTTCTTATAAACTATGCACAGTCAACCCAAACTGCTAGTAGTATCTTGGTGAAATGTAATTATTAATCTTGTTTCGATTTTTGCTGTCCATTTTCGTCGTACGAAAATCCAAACTAAAACTGTGCTGACTGCAGATTCCTTTCCTTTATTTTGCACTTATGATGGAAAAGCTCTCACAAAAGCTACTTGAGACACACCCTTTTAAACTCAAGAGTAATATTGAAACCGGACTTAGCATCCTCCTCCTCCTTGTGATATTTCTTGTACCTGATCTTGGATCTCTTCACTTTTCAGTCATAGCTTTACGAAGTTTTTCCTCGGTTTTGAAGTTTGCATATTTATTAACTTTGAATATTCTTTCCTTCGCTTCGTTTATCTTTGAAAGAAGCGGAAGAAAAACTAATATCAGCCGGTGACTTTGCTCTCTTAATACTTCCTCTCAAGCTGATATTGTTTAAAGGGTCTGGTAAGTAGCTGCACGTGATAGACTTACGTTTGCGCAGGCTGTGCCCTCTGCATAGCAATTATTTGATCCTTAAAGGATTGAAATAAATTGTAGACTTTGCAAACTGAGTGTCAAGGTATTTAGCACGAAAGTACTAATTGGGGACACTATTTATACGTCTCCAGCTGGAGACAGGACCGCCATTTTACGTGGTCATCCGAGCCACGCGACCTTCATTTCTCAGCTACTTTAAGACCCTGAGTATAGGTCTGGCAGTTGCAGCTTCGTCTAAAAGATGGCTGCAATCTTCAAATCTTCTTTCCCCTCCACTTATTTGAAGAACCTGTTCATTTGACTGTCAAGCTGTAGTGGTTCTGGTCAAATGTTAGCCTGGAGGTTTTCAAGTTTTTAATAACTGTAAATGAATTTTGTCAAGTTGTCGGGACTAACTTTAAAGTTTGCACTTGGAACTAAAATTGTAAAACCACTCCAAGCCCTGTTGCTCTTATAGTTAAGAGAACTTGAGTCAGGGATGCCGCCTCCCGTTTCCCTCAAGGGTTCTTCTATAAATTTTTTCTTCGATGACATTGAACCAAACCTCTTATCTTTATGCTGAGGATCATTATGACAGACTTGGGTGACTGAATTGCTACGGTTAGGAGACATTATCTCATAAGGGGCAACAAGAACCATGCCCCGATTATGGCTCTTGGTGACCAATGGTCAAACCATTGTAAACAAAACAGTGAACCTGCTACAATGTTTAATTATAACATGTTTTAGACCTCAAGAATAAAAACTGTCTTCAAATAGCAGTTGTCATCCGTCAAGTTGTGTTTTTGCTGTTCTTATCTATGTTTTTAGGCAGACGTTTGGCTATTTCTTCCCCTCAAAGCGTGTGAAAATTTCCTCGATTTTCTACCAAAAAAACTGAGGTAACGTAACCAGTCCTAAACCACCCTCGTCCTCAGGCCTTCTCGGTTGCTGTCCCTTTTTCTGGCGATAACCTGTACTATTGATGTCATTCCTCGCGACTCGCGTATGAGAGGTTGTGAAAATTCGCATCTCGAGGTTCGCAATACAAAGTGTGATCTTGCTTCGACCCTATACCGGTATATTTCCTTTTATTTGGTTTTGTTTTGCTTTTTGTTGTTGGTGTTGTTGTGTTTTTTCATTTCTTTTTTGCTTTCTTGGCTTCTTTTCCTTTCTTCCTACTGCTGGCCTTAACCTGACCTTCACTAGGTTATGTGATACACCTATTTCTAAGTATTGCAGGATATCGCAGACGTCTTCCAAATTTGGTTAACGTTAGCTGGTTGTAAAGAATTAGCCGGGGGATTCTTAGCCAATCAGAATCGGAGAAATATTCTGAATGAATAATTAGTAGCGGAGCTCCACGCGCGAAAAGTGCCGGCTTTGAAAACCAAAACAATGGCCGCTGAATTGCGTTTTGCTAGCTAAAGTTGTTTTGTCTGGATATTTTTGACCAACTGGTTGGGTTTTACCAAAAAAATTATTCCCCTCGCCTTCATGGCCTCTGAGTCAAGAGCTCATTCGGCCTTCGGCCTCATGGGCTATTGACTCAGAGCCCATTCGGGCTCGAGGAATAATTGTCAAATATACCATCGCTCAACCTCGTTTCCAGGAGCGGCAGCCTAGCTTTCTATTGACCATTCCAGAAAATACCATAACAGACCATAATGCTCTTTGTTTGCCACCCCAAAATTTTGCATAAGCATTGTCTTCAGTTTCTCTTAGGGCCATTTTAACTCCCAAGAGAAGCTGAAGACAATACTTGTGCAAAATTTTGAGGGACAAACAAAGAGTATTATGGTATGCTGTGGTATCTTCTGGAATGGTCAATTCCTGGGTCAGCACGTTTTAACATTTGTCGAAAGGCCCTTGGACACAACGTATTATGCCTTATCGTTTCGGATTAGTCGGTTAAGCACTGTGTTTTACGGATTAGGGTTAAGCACTGCCTTTACTGATTAGAGTTAAGCACTTCCTTTACTGATTAGGGTTAAGCACTATTTCGAAACTGGTTAGGTTCTTTTGTTGGGTTGGGATTGATGCTATGTGTACTTTAATTATTTCCCTACCATCTAACAAATCCTCAGTGGTCTTATAAATAATTTCCAGCTTGAAATATCATTTAAGTGTGATGTTTTATGCGTAATCAATTGAATCCTCTAATGTAAAATCGCGCGTCTAAGATCTTAATTGTTGCTCCGTACTGTACTTGAATTTTATTTTCAATTTTAAGTTGTGCGCCTTTTTTTCATTACCAAAAACAGGTATATTAAGCAAAAAGGAAAAATGGAGGAAGCTTGTGTCCGGAGGAGATGCGGGCTTTGACCGGAATCAATTTGTTAAGATGTTTGGGCCTTTAAACCAACAGTACATATATATTCTGTCTAAAAAGCCAGGAAAATATTTTCTGTTGTTGTTAAGTTAATCCTCTCCTGGGTTAGTTAAAATGGTGCGTCATAAAACCAAACCTGGGTTGCCTAAAAGATAGTTAAGCTAAGCCAAAATGACTCAGCCAAACTTGATACATAATTTTCTCGTCAAGAAAAATGACTCCAAATAGTCTGTAAAAAACTGAAATAAAATAACCCGATCATGGGTTTAAATTTCCTTCATCCATGGTTTTAGCGTTAACTAACCTTCGAGCAACAACATACTCCTAAAACACATAAAAACGCAATAAAATATTTACGAATTATTTCCGTTTGAAGGGCTTTGTCACGCTATTTGAACGTTTGTTTAATTGCATCAATTGAATTCCAAAAATAATGGTCCAGTTTTGTTACTGAAGACTATATTGAGGCGTTGAAACTGTTTCCTGTCGCCTGTTACAAAGGATGGCAGGGATGGTCGTGGAGTGAAACTTGAAAAAATTTCAAGTTTTAATCCTATGCCTGCAAAACTCACCACAAAATTATAGTTGTTCATGCTCCTTGATGAAATTTGTTTGGTATATTCTTCATTACTCTACCGGAGGATTTTGTGTGTGGGTAAAGTCAGTAAGCAATGACTGTAGCAAAAAATTGACCTAAAACAGTGCAATATCATTCGTGACATAGCTCCTTGAACGACGTCTCTCATTTGTTTAGTCAAAACCACTACTGAAGTATCTCACGTACCAGACAACGAGTCTCCAAATCGCAGGATTTACATTGAGAAACTGCGTTTGAATCACCAAGAGTTACAAACGCACTGAAGACGAAGGTCATAATAAAGAAGAGTTTGTAGAATGCAGCCATCTTTTAATAGCTGATCAGTTTCTACGATGTACCTGATGAGAAAGTCAATGTTCATGAGTTCAAGGAGGCAATAGTCTGATATTGTGGGCATCTGTTACCATCATTTAAAGGATAACTACCTATACATTGTGTAGTAACAGTCATCATTATGTTTACTCAGTTTGCTTAATGTGATACGTTATCAGTAAGAGACTCTGCTTTTGGATTTAAAAGCATGGGCCCAAGGTTTAACCACCTTCCGCGCGATACTCGACTGGGCGGGGGACAATTAGAAAAGCCATTCAAAAAACATATTCACTGTACTGGTTATGGCATGTGTGTTTTATTTCCTCACTAAATTACTTTTAGTAATGCCTAATGGCTCGTATTTTTTAAAGGAATTTTGAAAATTTAGAGACCTTCAAAAGTGGCAAAGAATGCTCAGAAACATATTAAATTATTATTTGAAAAAATATGATTCTGAAGCAACGAAACGTCAGTGTCAATTCGCGAGTTGTCTGTATATTTATTTTAAGTACCGAATACTCAAAATGTTTAGATCAGCAGTCCCTTACCCCAAAATCTCTTGGGTTTTTGTAGCCTCAGGTGGTCTTCCAGAAGACTAGAGAATACTACAAGCTCAGTTTGCAACGTATTTAACCTCCGTCTCCAAAAAATCACCACAGGGTAGGCGTGGCTTGAACTAATGTGCACCTATCACAACCAACTAATATGGAAGTATCGATATACATGAAAATCTTGGCATGAACAAATATCAGGAAAGTGATAAGAGTTCCATTGAAAATTGCCTAATGTTTGGTAATCTCTTTTCTTTAATATTAGCTAGGCGTCTGTTTTAAGTGATCGAGGCAAAACGTGACGCCATACCCTGGGTAGTGAGTTTCGACGCCCCTTTCTCCAGATAGAGGTCAATGCTTCACGCTTGGTTTTACCCTGTTAAACACTTGTCTCGAAGGTGAACGGAACAAAATAAGATGTATAGAAATGTAAAACTAAATAAACGTGTGGCAAAAGCAGAGAGCTAGAAACTGGGCAAACCGGTTCCAATATTGGATAAGTCCGGTTCCAATATTAGATGTGACTGTTTGATCGAGCCTAATTTGGAAACAAGCTCAGAACTAAAAGAAGATATGCTACCTATCCCTGCAATTTTGATTTTCCTCATAAAGAAGATGGAAAAGACAATCGAAATAGTAATAAAAAAGTAGTCATCACGGTCTATCGAAATACACTTTGGGTTGACTGCACGGCGAAACTATTACCATTAAATTTATTTTAGATAGAAGACCGGGCAGAAGTTTAGGAATGTGCCTGTTCGAGTGCAAAGGAAAACTGCGTACAACAAAGAAATTATACGAGACTGCAGTGAAACAGTTACATTACGTATTCGGGCGTATTAAATGTTAGAAACTTAACATGTACAATACAGTGTGATTCGGTAGTAATGTAGTTTTAAAGTCATAACTTTTAAAAAGATAACATTTTCAAGATTATTTCAATCCAGATACAACTACTGTACTATTCTTGAGTTTCTCTACAATTCAAGATGATTGATTTGATATCTTTCTCACTATCCGGAAAGTTTATCAAATATATAAGGATCTCCGATATCACTATTTAAGAGAGACTCAGCAACTCTGAGGTTATTATTATTATTATTATTATTATTAATTACCACAGTACGTGTCATGTTATGCAAAGGATCTTGATAACATCTTAATGCTAAATATTAAACGAAATTCAAATTCTTCGGGTGCCTATTTAGCACTTAAAGAGTAACGTCTGAGATCCTTAGGAATTCGGCAAAATATCTTTCCGGATATATAGAGAGACATAAATTTAATCACCTTGAACAGTAATACTGATGTTTTCTTTGGCCCAAAGTATATGTTCAGGGTTGCAAGGGTAGATTTTACCGTTAAAACGGGCAACGTACGGCCGGGTAACAAGTACAAATACGGGCCGGGGAACGGGAAAAATGAAAACAAAACAGAGAATGGTTAATGAAGTTAGTAATAGGGCTAAGGTCATTTTCCCGTTTTCCGTTCCTCGTTCTTCATTTTAGTAACATCCGACCAAGGGTTTTGCAGTGGTGAAAGCACTCCCACAATGTAGCAACTTGTGGGTTGAGTGTTGTTAGTTCTCGGCCTTGCCTCGAGAGGTTTTTTTCTCCGGGTACTCCGGTTTTCCCGTCTCTTCAAAAACCAAGACTACCAAATTTCAATTCGATCTGAAAAGCGCTAGCACTTTCATAGGACTTCTTTGAATAAAACTCCTGAGTGCTTCGAGCTTAGTCAATGATTACATTGACAGTAAGTTTTCGTAGTCTCCGTATCTGTCCCTAATAGAAGTCCATACACGCGCACAGTGGTGGGGAGATTCGACAGGTAATACTTATTACAGTAAGGTTTATCCATTTTATTTCTGCCAACATCTGTTATGAGTTTGCACATTTAAAATTACATGCACTGATTTGGATAAGCTGAAACGTCTGCCAGGCTCCTTGAATCTGGTGTTTTTTATTTTTTGAATCAGGTCTGCCGAGAAAATCAATTAGTATATACCACACAAGCGAATCGTGCTTTTCGCGCGCGCTAACCAGCTCGGAGGTGATAAGCTAAGTACTATTCCCGAGAAGCCGAAGAGAGAGAGAGACAGAAAAAAAAACAAGACGTCAACTGGACTTTTTTTCGTTGACAACAGAGTGTCGGATCGAAAAACGTTGGAGTTTTATTACTAGTGAAAATCGTCGTACGTTTGAAGTCGTTCGTTTGTTCACATAGTTTGAATTTCATTTTGCGGCAAGCGAGATTTTAAAACTTCACAGCATTTCACTAAAATAAAGTAATATTTTGGTTCGTTATTCATTCAGCTTGTGTAGTGCATGTTAAAACAATTATTCACCTCATTCTCGGTGAAAGATGTAGATATTTTCCTCCACTTCGGTTCAAAATTGTTAGATATTTGCATTTCCTTCCCCGAAGTAATAGTGCTTTAATATTTACAAAGAAAGGCAGTCGAATCTGCGAGCACAATTTTATATGACGACGGATATAATCCCAACATTTGCAAAGTATGTCTTTTTATCTCCACCCTCCTCTTTCGAACATCCTTGAAACACTCTAGTAATAAGGCAAGAAAGACGAGGAAGTGTTAAGGCAGAGTTTACAGTAACGTTTATTGTCATCAAGAAAGCTAAAAGGACTACAACATCCAATGAAATATATTTACCTCAGACATTTTAAGTTCTCATATCAATTAAGTCTTGTAAGTTGTTTTACGTTTTCTAAGATTTAGGCAGGGTTATATAGCTTTTGACCATGCAGACAATGTAGCATTTTCGAGATGTATCTTTGACTGGTCTGACGTCTACCGTCGGTCGTTAGGCACGCACTGGCCGGTTCTACAGTCACAAGGACAAGGCTCGCAGGAGAAGCCTGGTCCGCAGAGTATGGCTGCACATGCTCCAAAATCAGGGCAAGGTGGCCGGAAATCTTCTTTTTGGCACGGGCATCTTGGGCCTGTTGAGTAAAGGAATATATCATGCAGTTTTTCCATTTTCATCCCATTTTGTTGTCAAAAGTAAGAAGACTCTATAAATGACTTTCACCTGGAAATGGAGGTAGTGCTGTTCGCACGCACCGGGCGATGTTACAGTTACAAGGACATGGCTCGCAGGAGCGGCCTGTTAAACAGGTTACGGCTGCGCATGCTCCAGAATCAGGGCAAGGTGGCAAAGATTTGTCGCGACAGTTGCAACTTGAACCTGTTAAATAAAAGTGATCAGGCTTTTTGGTTTCGTCTATTTTCGTGACATTTTGTACTTTAGAGAAAGTTCTTGTATCTCGAACCGGTAATATTTGTAGCATTAATCTCTTATTTTTCTAAAGATCAAGTGGTTACCTCCACCTGTCCGCACAGTCTGTTTTATCGTGAGGTCAGCAACCAAGAATTGTTCGGAAACCGCTAACTGCTGTATTTACTCTCGGCGGGCAATCAAATCCGTCATCCAAGAATACCTGAAATTTTCTGTCATTCCAGAACCCAGCAAAATTCTTCATTCGGCATAAAAACAAAACAGCTGACATATACGAGACTTAGAACATAGAGGAAGCTAGCTTGAAATTTTTACGAGGAGGCCGGTAAGGCTCCCTGTCATATATTCTACGAAAATTACCGCTAATTCGAACACATATTTGCAGATCAAAGAAAAATTCGCGCTCCTCCTTCCCCTTTATTATGTTTTATGTTGAGCGTTGGTTACCGTTTTTAACTTGTATTATCAACCTACAATCTGCGACAAAATTAGTTGAGACGCTTTGTCCTAAATTGTATTTCTGACGTTTTGCCGACTTCAAAAAGGGAAAAATGGAGCTTTCCCTTCCCCACCCCCTAACGCAATGTTGTGTGGATGTTCGAGCGGGGACCCAGAGAAACCAACTAACATCCCAACTTTAAATGGAGGGGAGGGTGAGGGGTGTGGATTGTGATGTTCTCCGAAGTTGCCCCTTTCGCGGACAGTGTCCCAACAATTTTGTCGCCGATTGTAGCCAGTTCATTCTTTCCAAAACGTGGCATGAAAAAAAAAACGAAATACATGTATATAATTATCCTCTTACCTAATATGAGACGCTGTGGAAGGAAAAAATCAAGGAAGTTATGAGTGAGGTTAGTTTTGTGTAATCTATGATCCAAAGAGCAAGACGTCAGAGCTAAAATATGTTAGTACGGTCCATCACTGTTAAGTGCGTTGGCCAAGGGATAGTAGGGATGGTACGAACAGGTGAACGGACCAATTTAAAAAGAACAAAATGCAAACTTAATTGACTCATCCACATTGGGGCTCTTTCTGTTACTCCTTTAATAAATAAAAAAAAAAAAGAAAAGAAAAGAAAACAAATACTCCTAACTAAATATTTCATCGTTAAGATAAACCGTTCATGTTAAAAAAAAAACTAGCTAAAGTTGTCTATATACAAGGAAAAGCAAGGCTTAAGTTACTTTATATTTACACATAAAGAATAAAAATTAAATCTCTTGCGAAGATCAAAAAGATTTCTTTAAATGGCATTCCTACACGCTCGTTTGAAGTTTGTGATTGATTTACGAACTTTTCACTTGATAGAATCTACTTCATTACTCAAGAAAACAGTACGTTATTCAAAGCTGGCCTTTCTCCTGGCTGAACGATAGTAGAATATTTTTAAGAACTGAGAATTTCTAGTCGACCATGAACTCATTTCTGCTTTTTAAACAAACCTAGAAGATGTTCTGTTACACGGCCATTTATTCACAAGAAACAAATAAACATGTATGCATTGATTGATTTGCTAGGATAGCATAACGAAAACATAATTGTTGTCTTACTGACAGCTACCTTAAACTCCCCAGAAGTGGAATAATAAGATCAAACTCTCTGTAATCTGTTATTATCCTACAAAGGAAACTAAGTATCCAGATTAGCTCTGTTTCATCTCCTCTTTCCATTATTTTGCGCCGCTATCTGAACCATGTCGATTAAACAACGAAAAGGGCAACGAAGGGGAAACATATTTAATACTTACCGGTGATCCTTGTACGTATGCAAGGAAAGCAAAGAAAAGAATAACAACGGTCTGCGACATGTCGATACTGTAAGGCAATATATGTTAACACATTGGCTTTGTCAATAAATCATTTCTCTCGTGCGCTGATTATAAATGATATCCTCAGTGTAAGAAACGGAAAGTACGTCAAGTCAAAAAGGAGAACAAAAGTAAAAAAAAAAAAAAGGAAGGAAAGAAACCAAAGGAAACTAACAAAATATTAGCTCGATATTTTTGTGAGAGTCACTTACAGTTTCGCGTCACAATATCAGAAAAACGTTTCAGATATTCAGGACACGATATTAAATTCAGATCTAATACTAGTATCAGCAGTGAAAGACCCCGGCGATTTGAGGCGATTCTCGGTTCTACTTTTATTGGGCTCTTTAAAGAAAATGTGTAACGACATCATTGTTTTGAAGGGAGCGACGAATGGCGGGCATACGGACATACTGATCAAGACACGGTCTAACCCAGTGGGAGTGATGAATAACTTTATCTCTCAGACTAAGCTGAAACTGAAGTCATTATTAATACAATAAACCAACGGACCTTCTCTTCCTAAACCGCCGTAGCTAAGCTTTTCCTTGCCTCAAGTTCCTTTTGGTACAAGAATTGGATAACGTTATAATATGTTTTTGTGCTGGATTCTAGACAAAGTTAAGCACTTTAAAAATTCTTCGAAATAAAGGATTCTGGCTAAAGAGGCGGGCTTTCTGCAATGAAGTCTATAAATATGGTTCATTATTAGCGAATAAAAATCCAAAGTAAGTATTGTGAAAATTAGACGGTTATTTTTCAAAATTTTACGGAATCGGAACTTTTGTTTTAGATAAACAAAAACCAGTGTTAACTAAAGTGAGAAAACTCTGCCGCAAAACCTTTACCCGTACGCCACTTACCGCCAAAGCAAAGTTACTGCGTTTTATCAGTCAAATGCAGTGCAGGTTAAATGTTACGCCTGAGTGTGAAAAACGGAGCGGGAATCCAAACTAGAAGTTACTGATGTCCTTTGAACATTATGTTTATTTCCATTGTTCGCCAATATTTTCATGACGTTTGAAATCGTCATTTTAGGACTTTCAAACGTCGAATTAAGATTTTTATACGCTTTGAATGGTCTTTTTAATGTCAAGATCAACTGATCATCATATCAAAAACTCATTGATAATTCAAAAGCCCATTGACCTATCAAATGGTCGATAATACATCATATGCACCTCTTCCTTTTTAGGCATGTCCACACGAATCCGGACATTTTTGAAACCGCATATTTTTTTGTCCTTATTCGTGTGGACCGGGCCATAAACCGCCTCTGGAGAGCTGGTTCAAAACAGTTCGGTTTCGGTGACCAGATTCACTGGTTTTTTTGTAGGAGGAGCGGGCCGATTCGTGTACAAAATGTATGCGGTTTCAAAATATCCATACTCGAGTGGATGTAGCCTTAGTATGCGGTGTTTTATCAGATATAAAGCACTGCACGTGACTTATGAATATTACTTATAAACGCAGCAACTGACAATATTTAATGTGAATATTTAGTATTCTTTCAACTAGTAAGATACTTTTCACCATCCTCTTTGCACAGTACTTCCACAAACTTGATCGGCCAAAAGTTGAGTCTCCCCCGGCATTTTTAGGCTCGGGATAGAATGGAGAAAACAACTAACTGGTCTCCCGAGGGATCTGACATTAAGTGCTTTGTTATACAGTCAACTCTCTCTGAGACGGACACCTTGGGGACCTGCAGTATGTGTCCGTCTTAGAGAGATGTCTGTCAAATAGGAAGTAAAGAAAGGCAGGACCAACTCTGAGTGTCCGTTTTAGAGAGGTGTCCGTTAAGAGAGAGTAGACTGTATTTCTAGACTTTTACTTCAACGTACTTCAACAGTAACAAAAGAATACGCTTAAACGGAGCGAATCAAAACTGTCGACTCCGTAGTTATAAAAACAAAAATTTAATTCTCAAAACCACTGAATGGTTGATTTACAACGTTCTTTTCCATATATTATTTGCATCTTTTTCCTCGAGTAACTGCTGTTTCTCTTCTGGGATAACTTTGAAAATCGTTGCTTTTTAGCTTTAGGCTTCATGGTGTTGTTGTGTTCATTCACCAAAAAGAAAACTGCCAGCCAGTGGCAGGGCCTGGCAGTGTTTATCCCGCCTTCTGTCTCGCCACTTTCCAACGTTGTTTGTGCTGCAATGTATCCCGAGCGGGGTATATTGCTTAATGTTTCACGGTCGGGATACATTTGATTTTAGTCAAGGCCATGTGACCAAGAATCAGCCAATGGCTGTCCCTGTTTAGTTTAGTGAACATGTCATGCATTTCGGATGGCTTAATAAGCTTACTCCTACCATCTCATATCCAACAGGCACTCGTGGAATAATTGTTAATGAGACCTCAAGTCAGTTTTCAAGCGGAGCTCCGGAGACCAGATTCTTTTCATGTCGACCTTATCTCCTACGTAGTCTGTGTGAGTAGTGTGTCAGTGCTGTCTACCGTCGACCTGGCTGTGTGATCAAAAAGCTTGGAAAACGCCACTCTACATTGCTTCAGAACTTAATGACTTCCAAGATCTTCCAAGATCTTCTATCTTAAGCAAAGGAAAAATTTAATAACTGCCGCGAAATGGTGTCAGGTGGTATAATAAAAGTTATTTTAGTAGAGCGCCATTCACATTTAGGAACGCAATATTCAGTCAACTCCATGACAAACTTTGCAAACATTTTATTTCACGCTGCTCCTAAATTATCAAAAATAACCTTTTTCTTTTAACCAGGACCTATTATGCTAAACATTATTTCGCTTGTTTTTAATATTCAAGACAGTCCAGTTTTATTTTACATACCATCTACCCGACTTAGGAAGTTTTATTAGCTATTGTTGTGTACTTTTGAATGGGCAATTGAATGCTGGCCAGTAATTGTTATGAAACCTTAGCGTGTAAAACTATAAGTTCAGCGCTGCTTTTACTTTCGGCAGCAACAGAAGCCGAAATAAACAGCTGGAGGACTCATGACGGCATCATCCGAGTTGGACGCCTCACTTCCTCCGTAGCCCCTATTGGTACAATTGTAGTTGTAAAAGTAGCCCACTCTTTCTCCATTCCCTTTGGCCTTTCCTTCTTTTCCGTAAATAGAAACCTCAGCGTCGCACTTGGGAGTATTACTCAGGGCACAAATCTGTGCGCATGTTCTTCCGGAAGCGGTATTCCTCACCAATACGGTATTTCCACAGCATCCAGTTCCCCCTGAGGGAGTGCTTCCTCTGCAGGCAGCAGCAGCCGCCATGTGGAGGGACTGCCATGCTAGGTCGTAGGCTGAGTGTTTGTCATAACCAGCTACCAGAAGGTTTTGAGGAATATGGCCATTGCTGTCAAGCATGGCGAAACCACCGGGCTTACCAGCTGTAGCAAGTTTGGCTTTTAGTGAAGCAACCTAAAGGGGAAAAAGTCTGATATATTTGCTCTTAATTTGCCAAGACAACTTTTTAGCCCGAGTAAGTAGTCGGCTTACTGACTAGTCTAGCCAGCCACTAACTAATTAACAAAGTTTATAAAGAATGGTTATAAAGTATAAATGATCGACAAAAGAAAAAGAATAGTAATCATTTTTTGCACAGATGTTTGACTAAGATTAAAGACTAAGCACTTGAATTATTAGCAAGGAAATGACTAGCTTTAGAGAGAAGGATATTAGCCTACGTTGCAGTAGGGCACAAAATAGGGACCTTACGATCCGACAACGACGACGTCCATGAAAACCTCGCTGAAAAATAGACTCCGCATCCTTTCAAACCATTTCGCGACTATCTCAAGTCGCCTAGTTACTTAAAGAAGGGAAATTATGATGGAGCTGAAGAGACGGGGCCGCACCCGAGTTCAGACAGAGATGATAGAATTTATCGCCTTGTCGTTCCCGTCCTCAAAACAACTTAAAAATTTGGTCATTTCACGTCGTAGTCGTGCAGGGACGGCAAAGAAATGTACAAAAAAGCGTGATGCACGCGCAGGGTTGTTGTTTTGCTAACTAAGCCTATTACTTTTTGACGTTGCAATAGCCGTCGCCGTCGTAGTTTCGTAAGGTCCCTATTAGAAAGGCGTAGCTGACGATCGAGGACGTGCGCATCACGATCACATATCTCGCTCCTTATATATCATGCAGGCTAATAGGCATTTAATATTCATTCAAAATATTTCTCCGTTTCTGACTGGCTTAAAACTCCACGACTAATTCTTAATAACCAGTTGGCGTTGACCAAATTTGGAAAATGTTTCCTGTTTTTAATATAGTTGACGTCAATTGTACTGATGTAGACAAAAAAGGGGACAGTGGAAGGCGCGGTAGCTCAGCAGTTGAGGCAGAGCTAGGGAAAAAAGCGGAAGATTTTACACGCTATGCGACTGAAGAAGAAGTACTGTACAGTACCGCAAATGATCCCCAACCGCAAATGATCCCGAGACCGCAAATAATCCCCAAAATGGACCGCAAATGATCCTCGACCGCAAGTGATCCCCAAAGTCGACCGCAAATGATCCCGAAAGAAAAATAGGAATGACTTGGACTCAAGTTATCGGACCATTGTGTCGATTTTATTATTATTACAGTAAGTCAAATTAAAAGCTAAATTTTACTTCTCAAATAGATATATGACTAAAAACTAAATGAAAAAAATCATTCAAAGCAAATGTGATTTTTGCCGCTTATTTCATACTGAGAGGTCATGATATGCATTTTCTGCGATTATTGTTGTTTCTGGTCGGCATGATTTGCCCTTTGATGCAAGAGCATTTCCTTTGACCTCTTTTGAAATGCAGTCGGCTCTTCATTGCCGCTAAATAAGGGTTTTAGGTTGTTTAATTTTCTCCAAAGTGCCTCCTGGATCCGAATAATCATAAGCGATTTTCTTTTAGTCCGTGAATGTGACGGTTTCCCACGATGTTTTGTCACGCGATAAGTACCGCTCACCTGGCTTTGTTTCTCATTACCAGGTTTAGATTCCTGGTAACTGCCTTCAGCAAAGGCACAACAAATGAATATACATAAAAGCGCCAATATAACTATCCACAACACGTTCATGAGCCGTAAGAAAGTTGCTACTTGCTATTTCGAAATAAACCGAAACCTGTGGACATTGATAAGTTCGGGGGCATTTTGTCTTGTGTTTATGTTAAATCATGTCTTGTTTCGTAACGGGCACCTAAGCTACGAACAAATGTCTTGCTGTTCATCACGTAAAATTAACACTTAAGAGAAAAATCAAAATTAAATATTCTGGCTGATTAATTTCACGCTTTCATAAAGATCACTAAAGTCAATAAAGGTCTTGTTATGTAGAGGGTGCCCAGCTTTGTATTCCTCAGTAGAAAAGTTGAGCTTCTAGGCGTTAAAATAATAGAATTTTTTCGGCGTAACGTCCTGCCTGTCTTAAATTTTTCAAAAGACGAAACATTCTTCAAAAAAAATTGAAGCAATCGACAAAGGAAGAAGTATACGGTTAATACCATACTTTTCAGATTTATTCAATTTTTTTTTCACCTTGTATAAATTGACCTGAGATGTAGCGTCCTCCTTCCCTTTTTCTTTAAAAGGCGAGAGAAAAAGGATTCTTTTTTTATAATCAGTCCTTTTTTGTAATCAGTCCCATAAAATCCATTCCATTCCTCTAGTTTTCACGGGATCATTTGCGGTCGACTTTAGGGATCACTTGCGGTCGAGGATCATTTGCGGCCCATTTTGGGGATCATTTGCGGTCTCGGGATGACTTGCGGTTGGGGATCATTTGCGGTACTGTACAGTACCCGAACCGTAGCCTAATAACATCCCAATCCACTTTTTTTTTCAGTAAAATTAAATTTTACAATTTTATCAAGAGTAAAGCCGGGCGAAAAAAAAATTACGGCGAGCGAAGCTAGCTGAGAGTAGCCTAAGGGATAATAAAAAGGCGGGGTAGCCTGTAGACTTTTGATGCCGCCCATCTAAAAATGATACCAGATTCTGAGTATCATGATCTGATTGGTCAGATCGGTGACTGTTCCACTTGGAAGCCTGTTCGCAGGCTAACAACAATAATGAGATCGCAGAAGTTGTCAAACACAATTTTAAACACGTACCTCTTTCTTTAATTCTGCCAACTCTTTCGCCACTAAAGAAGGAATCACAAGAGAGTAAAAAACAAAACAATAACATCGTCAACAACCAAAAAATCGAGCTCCTGTCAGTTGTATAAAGTTCTTGAAGCAAGCTTTATTGTTAAAGTATCTTCTTCATAGGGAAGTAATGTATTAAAAACTGAACTGAAATTACCTTGACTTTTGTTTGGTAAACTTTCACCACTAAGGCAAGAAACGGCATCATTCTTAAACACAAAAGAAGCATTATTTTCCGTTGAAGGCACCTGGACCGGAAGGGATCAAAACATTAAGGGTATGTTCATACAATATCAGATAGCTTTTGCGCCGGCAAGAAAACCATACCGAAGGTGCGCCGCACGGGTCTCTCGGATACTTTTTCACTTGTTCATACTATACTTACATACTTGCGTACCTCCTGCACCCTCCCCTAGATCCCCCCCTGACTACTGTCAGTTCTTTTAGGGACTGTGCAATAATTATCAGGAGGGGGAGCTGAAAAACTAGAGGGGGGGGCATTACATAAAATTGCTGCCAAGATGGGGGGGCTCAAAGTAAAATCATCATTTGTCGAAGGAGGGGAGGCCTTAAGTTTTATTCGAAATGTAAATAAAATTAAACGCAATAAAAGATTCTCAATACAAGCATCATGATAGACTGTAACAAATACAGTGAAACCTGTATTAAGCGGACACCGTATTAAGCGGACACCCTCTATTAAGCGGACAGTAGCCGAAGTCCCAAAATTTATTTCCCTTATTTACTTTAAATGAAACCTTTATTAAGCGGACACCTCTATTAAGCGGACGCGGACACCTAAAAAGTACCTGAAATAGTTGCCAACCTGTATTAAACGGACACTTGTAATCAAATTCCACTACCCAACATGCCAGACACCGGAAATGCGAAAGATTACCTCGAATTGCCACCCACAACTTTTTCCATTTGTACATTAAAAACGTGACTTGACGAACTTATTTGATAAGTTTCGCAGTACAGTGTAGTTTTCTATTTCGTTTTATTTCTATAGAGCTTGTTTCACTTATCTGATTTCTTCAAATTTGAGTTACAATCTATGTTTATGGTACTATGACCAATTGGTCCACTTTGATAAAGAAATTAATGCAAACGTATATCGTCAAAGTCTCTGGGAGTATTCTTAACATTTCCACTGTTCATTTGAATGGCATTTGACATCTCATATGACGTTATCTATCGAAGCCTGTATTAGGCGGACACCCTGTATTAAGCGGACACTACAGCATTCCCCGAGGGTGTCCGCTTAATACAGGTTTCACTGTATCAATACGAACAGCCGTTGAACGATTATTGAAAATATTCCATCAAAATGAAAAGCAAATTCACAACTGATCAATTTTAACCCGTCTTCTATTAATTGAGTTGATCCTACTAAAGCAAAAATCATGAACTTGTTTTTTCAGCTTTCCCCATAAAACAATGGGAATCAAACAGATCTCGTAGACAAGCTTTGTCGGTTTTTGATGTGAATAAAAGTAATGTTTCTTCATCGACTGAATCGATTTGCTGAATTCCATATATATCTGGGTCATAACAAAATTCAACAGGCTCTCCTCCCAAGGATCTAAATATAATGCAAGCTCTTTTTCGTCTGTTATTTGAACGTAGTTACTAAAACCCGGAACGACCCACAACGACCCACAACGACCCACAACGACCCACAACGATCCACAACGATCCACAACGACCCACAACGATCCCACAACGATCCACAACGACCCACAACGATCCCACAACGATCCACAACAACCCACGACGATCCACAACGTTGCGTTACATCGTAGTTACTAAAACCCGGAACGACCCACAACGACCCACAACGACCCACAACGATCCACAACGATCCACAACGACCCACAACGATCCCACAACGATCCACAACGACCCACAACGATCCCACAACGATCCACAACAACCCACGACGATCCACAACGTTGCGTTACATAAACTGGAACTGATTGAGAGCAATTTACGCCCATGTGATTTTGTTATATAATACGTTTTCCTTCAAGTGTGGCACGGAATGTACTAGGTTTTTCAACAAGGATTTTATGAAGATGTTTTTAAGTTGGCGAGTTTCTTAACTCTGTGTTTTTACGAGGCTGGACAAATGTAAGTTTTCTGCAATTTGTTTTCGTTTATTTGACTGTCTTTTCGCTAGCTAAGGATTCCCTTCTAATTTTGTATCATTTCGCAATTTTTAGCTTCAGATTACCACATTACTACGTTCTACCGCGTTGTTTTAATAAATACTGAAAATCCAGCCTTTGCCGTGGTTTTGCTCCTTTGACCCATCGGCCCAGCACTATTTTAAATAACGTCAACGTACCATTCAAATATACATGAGGTCTCTGCCTGTAAAGGGAAGCAATTACGTACAATGGAACTCGTGGTAGATATATACATGAGATCTCTGCCGTCTTGATGGTCATTGTCATAACACTGCAATCCCAGTTCGCTTCGCTAGCGCAGAAATGTTTACGGAGAACAAAGCTGATGAAACTTTTCATGTGTCTTATGCATATCTTTATTCGATGGTCGGCTGAAGAGACATCGATCGGACATACAAATGTGTCTCTGAATGGAGATTCTTTCTCGTGAAAAGCTGCATTTACCCATTTATTTTGTCCTGTTTTTGACAACCCTATGAATGTGTTACCGGACTATCAAAGGTATTCTGGGTAGTTGTGAGTCATTATGTTTGCTATTCAGTATGCTTTTCAATTTTTGGAAAAAATTCAAAACTTAAGTTTTTGATATTTTTTTCTTGGGTGGTTTCTTTCGTTGTGGGACCGTTGTGGGTCGTTTTGAGATCGTCCTCGGTCGTTTGAAGATCGTTGTGGATCGTTGTGGGTCGTTGTGGGATCGTTGTGGGTCGTTGTGGATCGTTGTGGGTCGTTGTGGGGGTCGTTCCGGGTTTTAGTAACTACGGTTTTTATTTGAAGCGTTCAATCTCCTGTTCTTTGATTTTTTTCTCTGCTCCTTTCTCTTTCTGGCTTCAGAAGTTTCAGATTTTGAGCCAATGTAGTAAGCACCCCGGTACTTAGCAAATGCTTTGTCTAAATCTTCAATCAAGCGATCAACATCCTTCTCGATACTAGATGTTACATAATAACGTTTGTCATTATTGAAGCTGTGATGGCAGCTCAGCCCAGTTTTGAGTTTACCAGTGTTTTCAGAGAAGAGGCTGGGTGGGTGGTGGGAGGAGGGGGGTGCGACGTTATCTTTAACATAACAGAGGGGGGTTAGAACTAATTTTTTTTGTTATGGAGGGGGGTACTGTCTTAGTTTTTGCTAGATAACTCTAGTTTTTCAGCCCCCCCTCCTGATAATTATTGCACAGTCCCTTATGGTTGCAATTACAAGGCCAATGATCACTCACCAGGCACTGAGTCTTCAAATCACAAGACGCATCTTTGGAGGCAACGTTTGTTGTGCCAAAAGTAAATGAGAGGCCGTAGAGTAAACTTCCAAAGACTAGGATGTTGATGATTTTCACCATTGTTGTTGCTTTCATAAAACCTCACCTAGTGGACAATCTGCTGGATCAAGTTATGACAAAAGATTTGGTTGAGGTACTCTTAGCTTTACCTTGAAGTTTTCACTTCAAAATCTATTAATAATTCATGAAGGCATTACAAAGACAATCGCTAGTGCAACTTCATTTTTAGGGCCTATCTCTTTTTTCTCTCACTTTGTTAAATGGACCCTACGAAAGAGGTTCCCGGGACCAGAGTGATTTGTATAGCGTCCCCAAAATAGTCCTGCAGTTCAGTTCGACGTAACACTGACCCAGTCTTACGTAGTGTTTCAAAATGGCCCCGTTTATCGATGACATCTTAATGGTGTGGACAGATGGAGAGGAGAATTTTTAGACCTTGTTGCAGTATTTAAATTCTATCGGCATCCAGCAATACTTCAACAAAAACAGCAACAATTTACTGTTGTAAATTGGGCGACTGGGTTTTCACCAGGAGCCCATGACTCTGATAAGCCTCCCACGTGGACGTTCTTAGGGGTTCGTCGCGCGTTTCTGCGTGGGAGGGTAATGCCTCATAGCCATAGGCTCCTGATTTTCACTATTTCTTCCACAAAGGAACTCAAATCACGTTGTTGACTGAGTACATGCACCCTTGCTTATTGGCTTCGGAACGTTCTCTTTTCTTCGGGACCAGTCGCGGTAGTGGTCTTATCTTTATTCACGTCAGGGGTATGAGACAACATCATTACTTTTGACATCACGCGAGTAAAAAAAGCCATAAAATCACTCCTCCATCTGTCTCCAAACGTTTCATTTGCTCCCTCCTTCCTACATTTTTGCCCTGATTTTCACCCTCCTTCTTATTCCCTTACTTCTTATTTTTTAGTTAATTGAATTTCTCTATTTCTTATTTTTATTTATCACTTGTACATGTAGATTATGTAAATTATCACGTTGTAATTTTTATGGCACATTTGCATTTAAACGAGCTATTGCTCTTATGCGATATGTGGTTAAATAAAATTACTTTCTTACTTACTTACTCCACCAATGAAATGCTTTCAGGTGTCACGCGCTAATTTTAGCTTAAAATCATACATCACGCGCATGACCCCTTTATCACCTTGAGAAAACACTTATTACCGAAATGGTTAATTGGGCTTTTGTGCACTCCCCCGCCCCCCGCTACCCCACGGTACTTCCTTTTGAAAACGACAGGGATGTTCGTCGTCTCGCTTCGAGATAGAAATTGCGGATTTTAGTCTCACTTAAGGTCTTCAGGACAAAAAGCAATGAGGTACCGGTTAGGGTTGTTCGTAAAAAAATATCGTTCGCCATGATCCAGCTAAATTTTTAGGTTAAACAAGTGCGTCATACTGTATAAGTTATAACTTCCTTTGGAGATAAATAAATAAAGCCTGAGCGATACCCAAATTTATTTCCAATTTTCCGTTAAGCATCCCCGTCTCTTGCACATGGAAGAGTCCTTCCTCTTTCCCGTAGCTCTACCTTTTCTTACTGAGACACACCGCACTGTCACAACACTGTACTAAGCTATACTGTTGTTCTAAAACGATACAGCTACAGTAGAATTATAAAGTCAAGTGAGATCAACAGGGGCACCCAACGAGGATATAGTTTAAAACCACTTAACATAGCATTGTTGAACGTATTTTAGTATTCAAACGGTAGATATACGCATATTTTTATCCCCTAAAACTTTTCATCTGTTCGGATTTGCTAGCCGAAAGTCTAGTGATCCGAAAATTATAGGGATAAAAACCTACCTTCTCGAAAATTTCAGCCAGGAAAAGGCTCCCGAAAATTCTAGGTGGCCTTTTTTAGGGTCAAAATCCGTTAAAAATGGGTAATTATACCATTTTGCAGATGTTCGAAAATCCTAGGAGAGGCAGGCAAGCAAGAAATTTTACAAGAAATGCTCCGAAAATTCTAGGTCTCAAATCGTCTTCCGAACAGATATTTTCCCGAAAATTGCCGTTGGGTGCCCCTGGATCAAGAGCAGCACGTAGCGTAACCGAGTGATCAGCGCTTTGGACATGCAAACCCGCGATGCCGGAGTTCCGCTATTACCATAAGCTAGCTGGAATTGTTTCTCGACAGTCTCCAGTTTAACTCCGATCCACGGCCATGGATGTAAGTAGTCAGGTGGTTAGTTGGGGGTGTTAAACAAATTTTGTCTCGTTTAGATTATTAGTTTTTAATTATAAGAGTGGAGTATCTGTGAACTAGCTATGGGTATGAGTGCAGTACTTCCCCTATTAAACAAAGACTTACATATTTTCAAAAGCAAAATGTAAGTTCTTAGTGTGAAACAAAGTACAATGAACTTACTCAAAGGCCGTGATTCAGATCACCGTTGCTCTTTCCAGAACAGGATAACAGCTACGTGCAAAGTGTGGTGATCACTTTTGATTACGTGCTGAAATACAATATCTGAGATAAAGGCGTGATAATTTTCCATTATCCTTAGCCTGCGTAGCATGGCGGTTTTGTAAGAGCCGGGCACACGAGCGGCGAAGCCGCGAGAAAAATAAAACCGCCTGCCTGGATTCGTGGCCTTTTCAACTACCGCCCCCTTAAACTCATTTTGACATCCTGTTGACAACTTGCTTGATTTAAGTTTTCCCAGCCAATCAGAAATAAAGTGTTGACAGCCTAAACACGACACAAAAGCTCGTGATATAATGTAAAACGGGGCGTCGATAAAACCAGGAACATGGAACATCCCCGAACATTCCGGAACATTCCAGAACATCCCGGAACATGAAAAAATTAAAATATTTTTTTTATGAAAAAATAATTAATTAATTAAATAATAATAATAATATAATAATAATAATAATAATAGTAATAATAGTAATAATAATAATAATAATAACAATAAATAATAAAAAGAACAATAGATACAAAACAATTTTTGCAAAAATTTATAATAACAAACTAAATAACATAACATAACATAAAAACGAAAAATAAAGAAACAAACAATGAAAGAAAGAATAAGAAACTGGTATCATCTCCGAGTATGAAAAAACAGTATTTTGTCACAATGAATTTTTGGGCGAGTGAGGGTCCATTGAAATGACACTAATGAGTGAAGGCTTGCTTCTAAATTCAAAATATATTAAAATGGGTCGCGAGGAGGGGGTTTTCAAGCTCTCCTCACACAGCCACTTCTTGTAAATGTTTGCCATGCGGTTTAACGGTTATCCATTTACGGCTTTGCGACAGTAAGAAGAGCTTAGGGGCTCGTCGCTTTGGACTTGGATAATTAAATTAAAGATTCACGTTGCAGTGGCAGTGGTAGCGCAGCAATAGTTTCTAACTGTTATCAGTTAGCCTGAAATTTAGCCGTCTCCCCGCAAACTCCTCTTGCGACGCGAGGAGACGTCTGAAATATCATGCTGACTGTAAACAGTATAGAAACTACTACGAATGTGAGTATTGTCCACTAAAATCCAAAGACAGGAGCCCCTATACTCTTCTTAAGTTCACAGAGCCGCCTGGTCTGTAAGTAATTCATGTCAACCTCAAGTGAAGCAAAGCACCCCAAGGAAGCAAATGTCGGTTAATATATATAAGGAGACTATATGTCGGCTTGAAATGAGCTACTTACCGACTCGGCTTGACATGAAATACTGCACCGACCTTTCAGACCATTGCAGAACCGCAAATAGTTAACCGCCAAATGATTAACTTATGGCAAACAGTTACAAGAGGTGCAGGTGGCTGTGTGAGGAAAGCTTGAAAACAAATCCCCAGGAAACTGATCTTGGTTGAAGATTTTATCTAGACGACCCATTTTAATATATTTTTTTTCAGAATTTAGAAGCAAGCTTTCAGGATAGGGGGATTTGGGGATTACTGTCATTTGCATGAGCCCTCACTCGCCCAACAAATTTTAATTTGTTGCGACAAAATATTGTTTTCTCATACTCAGAGAGGATACCAGTTTCTTTTTCTTGATTATTTCATTATTTTTCGTTTTTCTTTGTTATTTTACGTTATTATTAATTTTTACAAAAATTATTTTTATTTTTTCATGTTCCGGAATGTTCCGGAATGTTCCATGTTCCTGGTTTTATCGACGCCCTGTAAAACGTGACCTTGGCCGGAATTGGAGTTTGCTTGAACAAACACAGGTTTTTCCTTTGTTGCTATCTCGCGCATAGGTGACTACACTGCGTTGGCTGCGTTCTAAACTTGACTAAGTAGATCTTATTTTTGCTGCACTAAGTGTTACATTTATTTAGAGGTCATGAAGTTGGTTTGTTTAATCCATAATATTGAGTAATTATTTTCTGTGGTTAATGCTTCTGTACGTGTTGCTGATTAGAATTTGTTGATCTCAGATGCAGTTGTAAAGTACTAATTTCTTTGACCACTCTTAAAGCCTAAAGCTGTTTATTACGGCTAAATAAATATTTCGGCTTCTTTGGTCTTTTCCGACTAAAATGCCTGGATCTGGATAACTACAAACCAAGGAGTTTTGGTTTGCAGTTTCTTTGTCCGTGAATGAATGTTTTGACGCTCGGCCCGGCTCTTTAAGTATTGTTTGCAGGATGTTGTATTTTTACGTATAGGGCGATCTTCAGATTTGAGTTGTAGCTTAAACCTAAGCTACTCCAAGTATGGAGAATTATGCTCATAGACCACAATCGCGGACACCGTTCGATGTAGTGCACTGGAGTGCGGTATTCCCTAACACCGAGTAATAGAGAAAATTGAGGTGGACTTTCTCGAGACAAATTTACTGTTTCTGTCATAAGGTCCATTGCTGTACAGCTTAGCGAGAAAATTTTCGATATCTGGTCGTCCGTAGTACTTTTTAGAGGGGAAATTGTGATCATACTGGCTTTCGATGAGGATATTTCTTCTTTGCCCATAGCAAAGACAATAAAGATCATTCTCTTGCCAAAACCTGTTGACAAAATTTCTATGACATCTCTCCTTTGAACAAGACTGTAAATGCCCATTCCCTGTTTAGGCTTCAATACAATTGCCCTGTTTTCCCG